ACCACCACAGAACATATGAGGCAAGCATATGATAATGTAAAACAAATAAGGATGATGCTGACATCTAGGCCCACTTCCAGATCACTAGGTACAACTAACTCAAAAGGAGGACAAAATTTTACGAAGTCCACCAGATACGACAAGCACCAGACATGAAACATCAGCTGTGGTCAAGAAGGCAATTTCGGTCATATGGGCAAGAGAGTCAGCCCCAAGCAGACCATCCACAGTGAGACGATTTCAAAAGGAAGCCACAAAGAGATAAAAGATAACATCTCCTGGTGAGGCGACTCAACAATCTGATGAAAAATCTCTGTTTACATGCGCAGTACAAGTAATCTGATCCAAAATTACACGTATGCATAGAGAACCACTTAGTGTAGACGTTACCATGACAACGAGCATCACCTGAGTCCAGTCAGAGTGAGATGAGCAGCAGTGAGCAGTGCTTGTGTTTTTAATTCATTTAAAATGATGTCAGACTCAGGAAAACGTCCTTCACATGTCCTTATTAAAGAAGGCCGAGAGGAAGACGTCGTGTTCTGAGACACATAAGCTGGACGTCCGTCCCACCGCTGCCTTTTAAAGATCAGAGCATAAACTTCGTCTCCTCTGCAGACCAGTTTCTGTTCCCGCCATGTTGAACAGTATAAACTTTCGCTATGATGTGACGCATCACTTAAACTTTCCGATAGGGAACGTTATCAGATACAGGCGTTTACACGGATATTATTCTTCTGTTTACAGTATTATTTACAGGATTACCCACCTCGTTCAATCGGACAGAAATTGTATTCCAAATGGCCTCAATTGGACTAGACTACTCCTGACAGAGGTGTTTACATATACGTATCCTGAGATATCAGTTGGATTATTAACAGATTATTAAAAAAAAAGTATCAATGCGCTGATACTGGAATTGTTTGCAGATACCTGACATTTTTTATGTACATATTTACAGATTCAATAAATGTGTCATCAAATGGAATATCAGCCAAATCTGTCAAGTTTCCTTAAAGCAAATTATCTGCTCATACTTACATGCTATCATTCTGCATCCCTAGAAAAAATGCTGGCGTAGCTTCCTTTTGGTCGTCGAAAGCCATTTTAAAACAAACAATTAAAACAGGGCACACAGTAAAAATCAGGAACAGCTTGTACAGAGTCCTGTCAGCTTTGTGAGGAACTGTGCGTCGGTTTGTGAGCACAAATGTTTCCATTAATTTATGTGATATTAAAGCATTTTAATGTGAAAGAATATGAACACCTATGGAACATATTTACAAACTACAACAGCCACTGACATTTGCAGACACACATACAGAGATTGAGCAGGAACTGCATTAGTAGGCAGAGGACAAGGCACTGCCGGGCTCCCTCAGAGAGCCTCAAAAGAATGCTTTTTTTCCAGCAGAGCAGCAGGCAGGAGACAAAGTGCCAATGAAAAGCCATTCAGAGCTTCCGCCCCTGGCTCTCCTTTCTGTCCTACATACACACACTTCCCTTTACACATGTCTACCTGCCTGGCGTGATGAGTGTGAAAAGATTACAAAGTACCGATATCTAGTGACTGCGATACATATTTACTAGGGACAACTGGAACTGACCAAGATTGCAACCAGCTGATGTTTGCTCAAAACATGGAATCTGCAACTGGCCAATTTATGGTATTTATTTTGGCAGGCTGGGTTGTAATTTTATGTTGCAAATAATGTGAAGCAGGCAAGTTTACTCACGCTGTATTTGAATGCTACACGAAAATACCGTACCATAATTACGCATGCCGTACAGTGCTAAGTAGGCTCTTACCTTCGATGTACTTCCGATGTTATGAAAATAGGCAACTGATTTAAAATTGAAAAATTTTAAATGGCATTAAAAACGTACCAGTGTGTTTCATGTGTTCATTAACCCCCAACAGTGTGAGAGTAAACAAACACTATTACAAGGATTACGTTACAATTCATTGATCTATTTAAACCAAAGGTATTAGCAGATATAGTAATAAGCTAAACATATACAAAAATCATTATCTACAAGGTTCTTGTTTTTTAAGGAGGAGACCATCCCAAACCCTAAATTTCAACTTTTATAAATAAATTTTTCCTCATCAATATTTAGTTTTTTGTTTAAAGATCTTTGAAAGTGAAGCTGAAAGATTTAGATTAAACATGAGTTCAATTAAAAAAAAAAAAGTAAAAATGCTGTCCCACGTATTGATGTCACTACCAAAACTGTGTTTGTTCATAGGTGGAGCCTTATTTAAGCCACATGCTTGCATTTTAGAGCAGGCAGTGAGACTGAATCCCTGTTAGATTCCCATTGTTTTGAAGTAAATGTGTCTCAAAATCTGAAAAATCCGAGTGTTAAGATTTGTCACTACCAAAACAGGCATTAAGGAAACCTTTTTTGGTTTTGATGATTTAATGATTTAAATATTATGATTTTGTGCGCAACTGTTCAAAGCTATTTACAGCTTGCAATGTGTTGGCAAACCATGTATTATGTAGTGTTTTTAAGTTATGTTTGTTTTTTTTGTGTTAATATGTGCTATTCTCATGTTAGAGGTTAGGTCTGCGCACAATTTACCTGTGCATGATGGTGTTTTGTGTTTCAGGTTAGTCAGTACTTCGTCGTACCAATAAAACTGCGGGTCGCCATTATCATCGGATATTATCCACCAACTAACATACCAGCTGGGTCCTATCATATACAATAAGAGTACAGATCATTATCACAATACTGACCAATGCCAACACCACAGAAGGTTGCAATATACAAATGAGCCTCTAACCAATTACTAAATATTGTGTGCTGTGAGCATTCCAGATACTTTCTTTGTGTTCTTAATGAATCAAGGCACACTTGATTCAACAAACAAAGCATTTCTGTCAAAAAATAATGCACACCAATCTTTAACCCATCGAGGCCTCACTAACCTGATTCTATTATCTTATATATTGTAATTGCAATATGTAGCTGCTGATCTGAAACATTCTTCTCTTGATCATTTGTTATAATAAATGGTGCTGTGTGGTTGGAGTAAGCTCTGTTCAGAAAAGCCTATTGTGTTTATTTTCATGGTTTTGAATATTTTCTTGCTCAACTATACATTTTCTAATATCAAAACATTTGATTAAAAAATGTACAATGCAAAAATATCACAGCATGTGCTAGAACAGCAACCACTAGAAGGGCCACATTAAAAAATCTCAACAAATCTGTGGACCAGCTGTGTTTTTATCTTATTTTTACTTAACATTTTGCCATGTTTATTCAAAATATGCCAAAACTACAACAGCAAAAATTGGCACTGAATACTTGAATGATTAAAAAAATTATACATCATACATCATCTAAACCGCTTATCCTTCTGGGTGCTGGAGCCTATCCCAGCTGTCATTGGGCAGAAGGCAGGATACACCCTGGACAGGTCGCCAGTCCATCGCAGGGCAGACAGACAGACATACACAATCACAATTCAGCATGTCCAATCGGCCTGACTGCATGTCTTTGGACTGTGGGAGGAAACCGGAGTACCCGGAGGAAACCCACGCAGACACGGGGAGAACAGGCAAACTCCACACAGAAACGACCCTGGTCACCCAGCCGGGAATCGAACCCAGGCCCTTCTTGCTGTGCTTGACAGCGCTACCCACTGCGCCATCGTGCCGCCCTCAAAAAATGATTTTAAATAAAAACAAATTGTTTCATATAAAACAGCAGACGACATTAGCTGCAGATAACTGTTAAACCTCTAGACACCTGGCATCTTTTTTTTTGTGGCACTGTCACATAGATCCTTTTTGGGGAGGAGGGTGGGAGCGCACATTACGTTTCAGTGCATGCTGGGAAACGTAGTGCAATGGCGATATGGACTAATTTTAAAAGGAAATTAAAATAATTTTGCGGGCCGAATAGGATTGTGCCACAGCCTAAATTGGCCCATGGGCCTTGTGTTTGACAAGAAATTACAGTCATGCTAATATGCGATAGACCTTTGTATGCAACTACACTCTAATAATCAGTAAACTCCAACTGATCATGGAAGGTGTATTCAAGTTGTAGTGAACTATTCTGGCTACATGTGCATTATCAAACAAAATGTTCAAGTCACCTGCTCAGGCATATAGTGGTGGGACATACAACGCAGGATAAGTTCTAGCGTTTATGGTCGCTGTAGTCAAGTAATTCAACCGCCATAGAAGAAATCCAGTTATTTGTGAACAAAGGGCTTCACAATGTTCAAAATGTCCAGAAGTTGTTTGCTTTGGGGCTGTGATGTCATACGTAACGACAGCAATGATTTTAGATTTGACCGTTTGCTGAAAGTCAGCCAAAAACCTCTGGATTCAGAAGCTGAGGCCCCCTCGCTGTGCCTACTGCCTTTGCCATCTTTAGCCTATATGCTATCTTTAGTCTAGTTCAAGATGAACTGGGGGAAAAAAAAAAATAAAAAAAATCACATAGTAAGAGTGAACCTTGTCTTTAGACAATAAGTGATGTCGCTTCCCGTTTTGAAATTACTCTAATGATATGTGCATTACGGCATGTGTGGGTTTCCCCATGTTCAAAAGATACAGAAAAGCACTACTTGTACGCTAAAAGTGCCCCCATTATGAATATGAATTACTGTGGAGAAAATGAATTACCTGTAGAATGAACATTAAAATACAAACCTTTTAAATGGTGCTTGTTTTTCACACAGAAATGACAATTTGTTCCATTTACTGATATTATCACATAATAGTTTTATAGTACCAGTGCTACGTGCTCGAGAAGTTTTTGTACAGCCATTAAAAAGAGAAGAAATAAAGAAAGAAGGGGGGATATCATCTGAATCAGGGGGTTATCCTAAAGTAGAAACACTGAAGTCAGCACTTTTTCTGCCTCTCCATCACCAGCATGCCAGTAGGGACTGTTCTACACTGCGTTTCTTTCTCCTTCTGCAACCCCCTCCCTCTTTCACATTTCACACACATACACACACCCCACTGCTCCACTGGTAGTGCAAGTCCGGAGGCTGCCGGTGCTGCATTGGAGCAACTCAGGGGTTCACATGTTCTCTCACTGCACCATTGTGCATGGAAACCGGAGTAACCTCTCGCAGAGACAGAACCGGAGCGGAATTAGACCTGCAGTTTAAGGAGCTGGACAAAAGTTTTTTAAAAAAACGAGGAGAGAAAGAGATCAGAGATAAAGTGGAGTGGAGAAATGACAGGAGAATGATGATGAGGAGAAGGTGAGTGATCTACGATGCAGCTGTGCATTTGTGAGACGAGGCAGGAATACACATGGTGAGCGAAGGGTTCTGTTAAGAAACCAAATCGCACATGGAGCAAAATTAGACCTGCAGTTTAAAGAGCCTGCTAAAAAGGAGCGGAGAACTGACAGGATAAAGGGGAGAAGGTGGGCGATTAGTACTGCAGTGGAGTGCTCAATTATGAAATCAAATCTCTTTATAATGCACAGATCAGGTTTATTGACATGAACAAATTTGTTGGTCAGCAATCCAAAGCGATGTATTTGGCAAAGCCATCGTTTTCTTTGTGCCGTTCTCCTAATCATGCATGTAGACAGCTTACTACAGCTGTTCTGCAGACAGCAGCCCTCCAATCAATAACTTGCACGGCAAAGCAAGACACGGACCAATTAACAGCAGAGAAAACTTGGAGTAGGGAACTCGTTCAAACGGCCCTTTCTTATAAGTCCACCACAAACCAACCCATCACATTGGTCACATTCATGGACATATGAGGGATATACACACCTGCTGTGTTCTGCAGTTTTGTGTGCATTTCTGTGTGTGCATGCATGTGTAAGGCATAAAGCATGATACTGCTGCAAAGATGCATGTCAAGATGCAGAGATGGGGTTTAAGGGTAAGGCTGCTCACAGAGGCCACAACATGCATGCCTCCAAAATGTGAGCTACATGTGTGAATCTGTGTTGTAGTGCGTCAAGCAGGGTCTGTGGGCGGTGTGGAGAGGTAGAGGAGTGAAGGAGTGGCTTGCTCAGTGCTTTGGGAGTTTTGGCAGTGCTATCTCTCGCTTCAAGATCACTCCGATACTCCATTCCACAAACCTAATCCTGTATTCGCACGTTGGCAAGAGACACTTGGTGACAAACCGGATACTCCATTGTTTTGGAGCAGCAGCGGAACATTACTTCACCACCAGCGGCGATGGTGGCTCGAGATCAGCCAAAAGTTCCGTTAGCAGTTCGATTTTAAGAGTTCAAGTTTAATTTTTGACGTTGTCTGCAATGGTGGAATAAACTGGATGTAGATTTTTCTGGGGGCCAAGGACAGCCAGCCTGCACTGGCCATTCATACATAAAATTTGCACTGCAAATTCTCATCGGTCGCAATAAAGTTCTGCACTTACACAAACAGTCTTGCATTGTCTATTGGCAGAGTAGATTGTGTTAAAGATTGGGCAATCGTTTCAAGCCTATACCTACTGCTAAGCGCCTATGTAGAACAGAACTAGTTTTCTGTTTAATAAGGACCATGAATTATATCATTCATGAAGCGCAAAGTCTTGTCCATGCAGGTATAAAGGCACAAATATCATAAGAATTCGTCATGAGTGGACATGAAGTGGGCTTTCGCTTTTTATCTTTTTGCAAGACTTTCCTCTGTGTTCTGTACATTCTAGTTTGAACACCGCCCCCTAACGTAAGTGCAAGTACATCCTGTACTACATTCTAGGCCCTAGCTGATAAAATCATTACAATATACACTAAATGTGCTGAAACAGACTGATGGGAAGAGTAAAAAGATATCATGTCTTTGAATGGGGTGTAGTAGCAGATGCTCTAGCCCGAGTGCAGCAAGAACTGCAACACAGCTGGGTTTTTGAAGTGTCCTTTGAGTATCTGTAATGATCCATCACCTGGAATCCATCCAGACAACAGCAGGGCCGTAGCAAATGGTTTTTGAAATAAGTGAAAGGCAGCTGATATGAATTGAGCAGATGAACAGAGATCCATGCCTCTGGCAACTGCATCAGCATCCTGACGAACAACCACAGCAGGCTAAAAGACAATCCAAGCAAGGACATGCAATATTTGAAAGAATCTCTGCTGTGTTTTCCCCTTACCCCCTTACTGTAGCGGATCAGCCAAGAGATATTTGCTGTTGTGTGCTTTAGTTTTGCAGTGAAACTACAAGGTTAAAGCAGCTAAGTAACAAAAAACAATAAGTACCATGCAAACTGCTCAAATTGTTAATTTTCCATTTTTAGAGATATTGTCATACCACATCAGAAATCACTTAAGCATACCTATATGAGATTACTTAACAACTAGACACAGTTCGAGATAAGTGCATTATAATTCAGGCATGCAGCTAGCAGGACACTAATCTTTTATTAGCCTTTTTATGCTGAACTTTCTTTAAATATAGCACATGCTGCAGCACATTACTGAATTCTATGCTGTGGGTAAGATTTCAAGACATGGGTCATTCACTGTTCTGCGTTGTTTCCCCTCTATGTATGCACAGGTGTGCAGCGAAGATGTACAAATGCGCTCCACTGTCCTGCTTACTGCTTCTACTGTCACTGCTGGGCATCAATGCAGCTTGTCCCTCGGTGTGCTCCTGCAGCGAGAGCCAGAGGGAGGTGGACTGCTCCTGGAGGGGCCTGAGACACCTACCCGTCGGCCTACAGTTGAACATCTACTCCCTCAATCTGTCCCATAACCGGCTGGCTGATCTAGACCACCACCTCAGCCCCTACACGCACCTCCGCACACTTGATATCTCCAACAACCGCCTGTCCCGCCTGCCCGCCTCCCTGCCCCGCTCACTATGGGACATCCACGCTTCTGGCAACCGCATCCGTTTCCTGGAGAAAAACGACACGGCCTACCACTGGAACTTGCGGACCCTGGATCTGTCGGCCAACAAGCTGGAGCGAGTGGTCTTCATAAACAACACCTTGCCCAACATGAAGGCCCTCAACCTCAGCCACAACCGGTTTTGGACCGTGCCTACCAACATGCCCCAAAACCTGGAGATGGTGGATCTGTCCCATAACAGTCTCGTGCAGATCCTGCCTGAGTCACTGGACCGCTTGCCCAAGCTGGCCTGCTTCTATCTGCATGCTAACCGCTTCTCCACGGTAAGCGAGGGTGCCTTCGAGAAGCTCCATGGTTTGAGGCTCATCACGCTTGGAGATAACCCATGGGCCTGTGAACAAAAGGCCAACATTAGTCACTTGTTGGCTTGGGCCAGGCACACCTCGGCTCGTGTGCTGGGCTGCCCGTGCCACACTTGGCCAATCTGCGGGGAGGCCCACTTGGCCAGGACGGGGGGATGGCACTTTGCTACGTACACACTCTCTCCATTCGGGACGGCCCAAATGCAGGGCGTGTCCACGCACTATTGGGCTGAGAAAACACTTACCATCCCACATCACACCAGGGAAGCAGCAAGAGCCTCCAGCAGGCCAGATGAGTATGCCTTCAAGCATGGCTTCCCCTTGACCTCCACTTCAGAAGACCTCTCCACGCTACACTCCTATCCACCTACAGATGTACCATTTACGGCAGATGACCTTCTCACTACGGACAGTTTCTTTACCACCAGCAGAGTCCTCACTTCCAGCACACGGAGGACAACCACTCTTCGCACACGGAGTGTCAAGAGGGCCAACCAAGGGCTTGGCAGAAATGCCAGTCCAGGACACAGCTCGGGGGATTTATTTGCAATGTCTCTGCTACTTCTGATAACTACTGGTCAAGTCATGTGAGAGGCTTAGCTTCTATCCTGGATTCATCTGAAAACACTAGCATTTTACATAATGCTTGCCCTCAATAGCTGCTTTTTTGCTCATTATTTTGCTGGCATACATGTTTGTTTACTCTAGAACGAAAAACTGAGACCATTTCCCAGATATAGGTAGCACAGTCTTACACTAAATTAAATGGTCACTGGAGACAATGGTCACTGGAGAGCTCTCCATTTTAAATTCTCCTTAGCATTTTAAGACTGCATTCCAACTACTTGGAATAAAGCAAATTTACAGCTTCATATAAAACAAAACAAAAAAAAAAACAATGTTCTAAAGTCACTAATCAACACAAGAACAGTCTTTCTATGACATCTGTATTCTAATGACCACTACTTTGTAGTTTACTCATGGCTCTGGTTGTATGGGTAATGGAAATTAAATACATTTTGTATATTTGTCATGATGGAAATCTGCATTCTTATTTCAAAACAGACTTTCACTTCTGTGCTTGCAGTCAAAAAAGTGTTTCATGGACATTGATTAAACAATGTGTACCAACGTTTGGACAATCACTAAGCAGAAAGAGCTGCATGAATGATTACCAATTTAGGATAATCCACTGATGGAATTGGTCTATAAGAACACCAGGAGGGGGAGCAAGAGATCTTGATTTGTGCGTAGCAGATGAGGGTTGGGCGTTTACATTATTTCCTATAGCAAGGAGCTGGCATCATTCTAAAAGAAAAAATAATACTGTAAGCTGCCTAAGAGCCATATGTATTATATAACGGCTCTGTATCTCTAAAGGGAGATCAAGTTATCACAGAACCAGCCTGATGGGGCGATTATAACAGCACTACTTTCAGCACCATTATGACAATATAATTACTGTGACTTAAGTACAATGGAGCACGATGAAAACAGCTGTCAGACATGCAATTCAAAGAGTGCTTAGGCTAACAGCAGAAAAAAGTACCAACTATCAGAGCAGAGTAGAAAATACTATAACCAGTCATAATAATGTGATGGGAATATGGCTAAAAAGCTCTTCTTTCTACAGACACTTAAACAGTCCTTTACAGCAGCTACCATAGACCCTAGTGGACGAAAAGCCATCTTAAGATGAATCACAGGAGAAGAAAGAAAAAACAAAACAAAAACACATAGAAAACAAACCAACCCTCCAAAACATATGAAAGAGCGGGAAGCAGAGGCAAGAGGCTATAGTCGAAGACCTTCAGCACTGCATGAACAACACAACTAATAAAAAGGTGTGACATACTGTTCAAATTACTTCCTTCCGCACCTCCAATTTTTTACACCAATCTTCTACAATATCGACATAAAACAATACCACCACACTGTAGCCTTGCTAGATCCCATCAGAGTGAGTCAAATAAAACAGGTTTTGGGCCAATGTTTTACTTACACTGTTGGGCTTGGGTTTGTTTTCTAATAAGTAATCTGTGTAGTAGAATTGCTCTTATCTGAAGGACTATATATAATTTATTCACTCTCATGCATTCTTTCTCTTTCTTTCTTTCGCTCTCTCTCCCATAGTCTACAGCTGTGTTTAGAATTGCTCCCTAAATCCCGTGTCTGGGATAATCCACTTCTGTTAGTGGGTACAGGTTTCAAATTTAACAGTAGCAGTTGAGCCGAGTCGAAGTGGGTTTGGGCTTCTGTTCCACTGGCTATACTTTTTTTTTGTTCAGGTTTAAATGTAAAATATTCCAGTTTTTCCAAGGTATGGGCCCTTTAAGTGACCCTAACGCCAAGATCAAGACTTTTGGACTCCATTGTACGTTTGTAGTAGCTGATTATATTGATCTCTGAACTCTTGTTTTGCTACGTAAGAACTTAGTAAACACAAAAAACTGCCTTAAAAAAAGTTACATTAAAAAATGATGAGGAAATCATGAGGACAGTGATCTCAAGTCTAAGCAAAGAAAAAAAAAAAATGACGAATGACTGCCAATCAGTAGGTTGAATCTGCATCAGATGTACTGATGCACTTTTATAGCCCTAGATTACAGCATCGATACTAAGTTAATGATTCTTCCAATAAAACAGGCCCATATAGCTACACAGGCTGCAGATCTCCAGGCAACAATTTAGTGTAGTGAAAGTCTGAGCCTCTTCCAGCTTAGGCAAGTCAGCGGGGCAAGAGGCAGCTGGGAGAAACCCTGGTGATCTTCAAATGCAAAACGCAAACAAAAGACTCTAATCAAATCAAAACCTACTTTGTTTCACCAAAATCAGCCTGATACCAGCTCAAGAGCCCATTTCCAAAGAAAAACAGCACACGTCACGTGACATAACGTCAGTCTCATTATAAAACGCCACATATTAGTCCAGACTGAGAACAGAGCTCACATCATCAGCTTTCGGTGTGAGGACATAAGCACAGGTGAGCCTCCACAGCACACAACTGTTGATGTCAACTGATAATAGATCTGTAATGTAGATTCTGCACTCAATAATACAGAACTACAGGACGATTTATTTACAAAATTTACGAAATGTAAAAAATACATTTCATCTGAACGTCACTTAATAATCTTGATCACTTTTTTTTTATGAGTGTATGTTTAATGTCACTTACTTGTTTCAGTTTTTCACTGTTCTAACAATTAATTTCATATAATTAAAGTAATTTCCACATACTGCATATTCATCATACCATGCTAAAATGAGAGCTTAATTTATTTACTGTTAACAGTACAAAACCACAGACAAACCTCATTTAATTTATTTACCAGAAGTGATGTTTAGATGCAAATATTAAGGTGATTTAGAATGAAAAAGATCAAGCATGTTGTAGATTTTGCTATCATACAGTTTTAAATAAACCTCAGCACCAACACTGCTTCATGTGATCAACAGCTTAAAAATTAGGAGAAATCAACAACAAACAGATTTCACAACCAGAACTCCATTAAGGAGCATGGTGATAATTCTCTACAAGAGCACTTAAATGTTGGTAATGATCAAAATGTGGAAAATAGTTAATTTTTTTTAAATGATTTCTCCTTATTTGGGTCATCAACATCTTATTTTCAAGGCAGTTTTGAACTATCGACAGTATCTGATGTAGCTACTCCTTTCAGTCCGAATACCTGCAGAATGAACTCTGGTCAGACTCTGATCAGCCTGGACACTGTCAAACACAGACGTTTTGCTCTGTAAAAGATGGATGTTCATTGCAGTGGGGCTGGGTTTGGCTCCAAACTCACAAAAGGCAATCAGACAATTTATTATTTTTATTTTTGGCAGATCAGGGTTGCAGTTTCTGTTGCAGGTTCAGTTTTAAAAGAGAAGATCATTAAATTAAAAATCAAATTAGAAATCAAATTAGAATAGTTAAATAACCAGTTTAAAAACAAAGTTAGATTAGGATTAAAAAAAAAAAGGAAAAGGTGCTGGAAACGCCAACAGTGTTTAAACTGAGCTGAAAGCTGCTCAAACAGGAACGTTTTGAGGCTGGATTTAAAAGTGTCCAGTATTGGGGCTCTTCTAATGCTCTTCATCAACTGGTTCCTTTTAAAAGCAGCATAGCAGCCAAACGCTGCTTCTCCATGTTTAGTCTTTACCTTCAGCAGGACTGACTAGTTTCTAATAATCTCAGTTCAATATGATATAAATTTGCTGATCCTGCACCACTGAGCGATTTATAGACCAGTCAATTCTGTAACAGACTGGTAGCCAGTGTAAGGATTTATGACGTGTTCCCTTCTTCTATTCCTAGTGAGACTCTGGCAGCTGCATTCTGAATCATCTGAAGCTGTTTGTCGTTATCACACTGTGACTCTCGCTTAAAGAAAGTACAGGAAATGTGCTAGTATGTTCACATAGCCCACACAGTGGGGGGGAAAAGGGGTTTAAAAAAAACAAACAAAAAAATTTAGTGTTAAAGGAATCAAAATCCATGATTGGATGTCTGCAGTTATTTTTTCATGTCAAATTTAAAAGATATTTTTACTCCCCATTCGTATTTTTGTACTATTAACAATCTATCAAACCAAACTGAGCTCTCACATTAGCATAACATCAGTGTGATGAAATTAATTATATTAAATTAAATCAGAATTTCCATTATATTACTTAAATTATATGAAATTTAAAGTCACTGTGTAAAATGAACCACTGGAACTGAAAGTACAGAACTTCTACTTCCTCTGTTGAGCTCTTGTGGATGACAATGTATAAAAACAGCAACTTAATCAATTTCAAACCATGAAAAATACCTTGTGTTTTACTTAAGCACCAACACTGTATCACTTACAGTTTAGCATCTGCACTTCTGTCTGAATTCCTCTGTTTAAATGACTAAACTACAAGCTATAAATCAGAAACAATTAACCTAAAATTACACCATATAATAAACTGGCAACACCTCTTCTGTTTTTTTGCACACAGGCCTGAAGGAAGATTAAGATGTCTCTCAATGTGGGCAGATATCTAGTGCTTCTGACCGTTTCCATGTGTTGCCGTCTGACGGTGCAATCAAACGCAAACGGCAACGATAATAATTCAATGAATATGAACACCACTACGAGCAACACCAGCAACATCCCATTCACTTCAGACAGCTTCTCTGGCACCTTTGACAACACAACCATCAGCTCCGGCAACACCGGCGATCCCACCTCTTCAAGCTCCAACCCCAGCAACTCCAAAGTGACCACAGCCACCACGCCGCTCAGCTCCAGCACAACCAAACCAGCTTCAAGCAGCTCTGGATCAAGCAGGACCAAGGCGAGCTCTTCGGCTGACAGCTCTGGGTCGATCACAGCAGCCTCAAACTTCACAACCGGTAAATCAGGTGCGAGCGGTTCCTCCTCACGCGCCTCCACCACCTCCTACTCCAGCGCAGACATCATGCTTTGTCTCACGGTGTCTCTGGCCCTCTTTCCACTGCTGATACAGTAGCAGGCCTGCCGTGAACTGGGCTTATTTACTGTCCTTTACACCCCAATTCAATCCAGCCTTTTCTTTCCATTTCAGCTCAGAATACACAAGAAGAACATACTGATCAACACTCTAAAGCCATTGTTGACCTCATAAATATGTAAAAAACATTTAAATGAACAGATGGTTTGATTCTCACTCTATTAAACGCTTTAAAAACATATTTTTATGGATTATACTAACCACATTTTTGTCTGCATTTATATTAGGAATCCAGTTTTCTGATAAGATCAGAGTAGTTAAATACTGAGTACTGGCCAATATTGGGCGGATATTTTTGTTTGCATGTCTTATGCAAAAGTTTGAACACCCCTGGTCACGCTTTGTTGGTTTTTTTTAAGGTGTAACACATCCTCTTCAGAGAACACACCACACTTAAGTATGACATTAGTGCATAATTTCTATTTATTTACTGTGTTTAACATATTGGGGAAAAAAACAAATGAAATATTTAACATTATTTTACCCCACCAAATGCATAAGATGAATAGTGCATAAGATAAATAGTGACACAACCTATACACGACCAGGGGTGCCCAAAAATCGGCTTACAGTTGTAGATAAAACAGCCACACAATTTAGTTATGATATACTAGGCTGCTTATTAATGCTCTGTACATCTTTCTGGATGGATGTGTTTTGTTTTTGGCCTACTTTTTCAAAATGACCATTTTATATTATGTTTAATATTAGCTTATGATCCAATTTTACTGAACCTCCTGATTGCTACTGGTAGGGCTGAACGATTTGCAACTTATTAGATCTACATCATTAGGTTAAATTTCTCCACTTTACAACTCGAAAAGACAACAGTGTTGGTAAATTGTTATTTTCAATATAAAAATGATGAAATCTTTCAGCCCGAGCTACCAGTCACTTTAAAATTCTGGAGTAAAATCGATTATATACACTAATAGATATTTATCTGAACAGACATCTTTCTTTAAACTACTGAAATACACAGTTCATAAATGTTGAGAATACGCTGCAATTTCATGCACACAGCAGCCATCTTGAATGTGTTGTTACTGGTGATGCTGACCTTAAACCAGAAGTGTTGCTGCTGCCAGTAAAGCAGGAACGTTTTCAAAGATCCGCTCCAGAAGTTGGTATGTACATTTACACAGTTGACCTGAGATTAAATAACACATTTCCCTTATGATTTCTCTGATTTTACTTTTTTTATCCTGTTTCATAATTACACTCTGTTTGTAATGAAGCACACAGCAGGTCAGTGTTCTTTTTTTACCCTTAAATTAGTAATTAATTAATAATTAATAATGATAATGCTAAATATCATCATACTGTCCGCCCTTTCGTGTGCTCACATTTTAGGTGGGGTGGCCATATGATGAAAGGCGACTGGCTTATATTATTATTATTTTCATTTTCTTCTTCAAAACAGTCCCACACAGCAGAAATTGAGATGTGATAACTGATAACTTGGAGAAGGCTGTGGAAAGTTCTCTATGAAGGCGATGTAAATAGAGCGGGGCAAAAAAGAAGGAAAGGATCAGAACCGGATCAGGCTTAATACAGCCAAGACTCTGTTCTATCAGCTCTCATGACAGGTCTCTTCATCGGATCTGGACATCTCTAATTTGTATAACCTTTGCTTTTACTCATCTTATTATCTCAAACAATGTAAACAACATGAAATAAGGAGCACTGTAACTGTCAACCTCATGACCACTGCTTATGGACTGAAGACCTTTTGTTCAGGGCGAAAGTGTACTTAATTGTACTTAATCTCTAATACTGTGAGGAGTATTGTTAGCCCCTTGGTGGATCAGTAACTAACAATGCATTGAAAAGACACTGAAAAGTCCACGCAAGATTTTATGTGCTACAATTTAAGTATTCATGCAAGTGAACAAGTAAAAAAAGGCAGAAATAAAACACATTTCTGTGCATTCGACTACCACAGCACTGCACACTCATTCCTCACAGTCTCCGCTACAAATTTTGCAACAGTGTTTATTGTGAAGCAGAAGATGAATAAAACATACCTGAACTGAAAAATCACAAACTGCAGAGCATCCAATTCAGAAATCTCACCTGCGGGTGACGTAGTAGAAAACAGGGTTGCCGTTCTTGGAGGTGCCAGCCTGGTAGAAAATGTTGAGGGTTTTCAGCGCTTTGAACTCCTCTTTCTCATGAACCTGGTGTCTGAACAGAAAGCTTGGTGTTAACTTCCTGAATGTTTAACTCATCATTAAAATTATTTTCAATCCAAACCCAAACACCATTAACAACTCCTCATTTCAGTGTTGTTATTGAGCCGTTTGGGTGATTTTAAGAAGATCAATACATTAAAAGCGTCCATTACTTCACTAAAGCAATGTACCAAAAAATCCTTATAACATTGAGAACTAAATCTGAGGAAAATGCTGAGAAAGCCTGGCACACTTTCTTCTGTCTTAGGTTTTAGATCATCATTTTTGTAGTAAAAGTAAGTCGTTTTTTACACATTATTTGTTGTGTTTTATAGCATTCTGAAGCGCAGCATTATATTCCTCAGCCTCATCGGTTTCACACGTGAAGATTTTATACTGTTTACATGTTTCAGTTCATCAGTGTTCTCTCACTACAATACCCAGCATTCATTAGGCAAATACACCACAGAACCATTGGGAATCTCTATGATGTCAACCAAGTCTGTCTCCTACCCTGGGCACTGATCTATTGGCTAACAAACACAACCAAGCTCACATTTGTGAAACTTTTACATCGGCCATTGAACAAAACTGTAAACAAAACAGCGCGTCTCTCTTCATTCAGCACAAAACGATGGTTTTTAACCTATTCAGCCAGAGAAAGAATCTAAACTGAGGTAAGATCTATTTATAACCAACTAACTTGCTAACTATTGCTTTGAGTTTGCTGTTCTCCTTGTCTTATGAATCATTTCTGTCATTTAAGTAATCACTTGTAGTGATTACTTAAAGACAGTTACTACAGCTGCCCCCCCCCAAAAAAAACAGCCCATAGCAGTTGTAGTTTCTCAAAGTTCCTCCCACCTTCAAGATACATCATCAAAAGAGGGATTTGCTTCTCTTTAAGCCAGAAAAACTCTGGAGATTACGGCATCACTGCTGTAGGATGTGAGTAAGCATGTGTACGACAGAGTGCTGGCTAGAGGGTTTATTTTGGCCCGAGTATCCCCTTTCATTTTGTTTTCTTAGCCCACTATCTGTTTTGAGAAGTCATTACCTGGTCATGAATTCCTCAAACTTTGAACTGGTGAGATTTAGGCTGGACCAGTGTGTATCGGCCACCGGTTTGTGCTCAGGGGGGCCCAGGTAGGCCAGGAGAGTAGCCATCTTGTCGAAAGGCCGCCGGCCCACAGCTTTGTGGTCCCTAAAAAAGGTGGAAGGGATTTGCAACAATTTTTATTTTGCATGATATTATCAGCAAACTAACACATATACAAGTATACTGAATTATCAAAGGGTTTCAGTTAATGACTGGGTATCAAAATAAACCTACAAAATACTTAAAACATCTTGAAGGAATATGAAAATCTAAATATCTGCACAGTTATGCATAAGAATATACATTCTTCAAACACAACAATTAAGTAAGGAAGGAAATAAAAAGATCTTGCAATAAAACCTGGCAGACCACAAGTATTAAAAACTAAACATGATAAAAATCCCACATAGTATGTGATTAATTAAACTATATTTTTTATATATACACAAATATACATGTATACGTTTCAACGGAAAAGCAGGAATATTTTACTGACTGTACAAATAACAATTAAATTTAAATCCTAAGTCTTTGACTGTAGCCTGACTTGGAGATACAAACACTTTTTCCATCATGATTTGTTAAAAATCACAGACTACAGTGAAGCCTGTAGTAGATGACCAAAGTGCATTTGTTTTGGACCTCAAATCAGGGGGCAGTCAAATGGGCAAATCTGAATAACAAATAAAATTCCTGTTCTGAGCAGCCAAGCATTGCAAAACGCCCTTCAGTACCTTGCCAGTTTTAGCTAATAGCCTATGGTGCTGCACCATTAGCTTTCAACACATTTACATTCACAGAAGTAGCCTCAAAACTCCATCAGCCTCCCAGAAAACAGTCAGTCAGTCTCTGAACCGGCATCTCACACCTGTTGCTGGAGAGATACTGGCCGATCTTCTCCTGGTTGTTCCACAGCAGCCTGTGCAGAGCCAGCACGTTACCGTCGCTGATAAAAGATAAGCTGTGGTTGACTGAGTCACTGGCCGGGCAGTCTGAAGCAATGTCCAGAAAAAATCTGATGGAAGGACACAATGACGGCACAGTTTATTTGACATACTTTAGACAATCAGAACATTAAGCATGTACAACAGGTCCACAATATGACAAGCAGTTCTGCACACAACTGTTCTTGTCTCTATGAATCAGTCTCCCTCAGAAAAGGTAAAGTTCCAACAGAATTTCTGGAATTTTTCATTACATATTATAAAAAACGTTCTAGGTCAGGGGTCGGCAACATGCAGGTCTGGAGATGCATGCAGCTCTTTTACTGCCCAGTTGCGGCTCCACGGCAGTTTTAGATCTTTAGGTAAAAATAAAATGATCCTCCTTCGCAGTAAAAAAGCTCTGCTGATCATTCAACACAGTTTTAACAATAAATGGTCTTAAACGCTGGAGTGAATGTAGCCTATAACCGCTAATTCACCCTTTAACCCTGAAGATTGGCGCACAGACTGCTGGTCTCATAGCAACACAGACAGCAGTCTCTCCTAGCTAGTAGTTAATGAAAAGGCAAAGAGAAAGATTTAAGATTAACATTGATAATTTAGAGATAAATTGACTTATTGGCATTTATAATCAGCTTGTTTCTTGATATGTTTAATCTGCAACGAGAAACAGTCAAACACTAAAAAGTCGCGAAGCTGAAGTCAGTTTCTTGTTCGAATTTTCCCGTTCCACCTTAAATGGCGCCGCAGTTACATTTTGGCACCTCAGGCACAATTCGGGAAAATTCGAACAAGAAGCTGGCGAGTAAGAAGCGACTTCAGCCTCGTAAAAAGTTGAATGTTGAGAGACATTTTACAAGAAATTCTATTTTTTTTAAGTTTCCTGCTAGAGATGCGAAAAAAGTGACAATAACTGAGCTAAAGCTTAAAGCAGAGCAAAGTAAGTCTGCGTCTTCGTTTATATTTTTTAGCCTATACTACCACATTTGCACATACTGAGACATATTTAGAGCCAAAATGGGGAAATGGACATAAAATGTTGTGGCTTCCAAGGTGGTTTGAATTTTATTGAAACGACAAAATGGTCGGGGTTGCCGATCCCTGTTCTAGGCCTTACAAACCTGAACCCCGTAAAGGAGCATTCCAGCAATTTTTCCAAATTCCTGCATAAAAAATTGTTATAAATTAAGGCATTTGTAGTCGTTTCATGTGAAATGTGCTGTTCTAAACTTGCAGAGTCTTAATTTTTCACAGTGTTGGTGATGGGAGAAACCAGAAGCATTTTATGCCTCCTACAGAAGGATGTTACACAAAATGGTTACAAATTAGAGATTTGCTACCCAACAAGGCCTGATACAATATCCGGTTTGGGGTTGTTTTATAATGAGTGATCTTATCCTTTAGTTCACTCACATGCCTTTTCTCTCTCTCTTTCTCTCTCTCTCTCATAGTTAAGTTCACAGTCACATTGGTGCATTTGGAATGTGGAGTTTAAGAGAAACAGGGAATGAAGTTGAGCAGTAATCAGTCGTGATCACACCATAAATTATAAGAGGGGTGTGATGGCTTGGTGGAAAGATTCCCAGCTTTCTAAGCTCGTCCAAAGTGCATTAAAAGGGAATTACACTGATTTCTGCATAATTAAATACATACAGTGTAAACACAGTCAATGAGAGTGGCTTGATGTGAAATGCTCCATCCTACAGAAACAAAATTCTGAATCACGATTGTTTACAGAGATCCTGATAGGAACCAGACATCTGAAGAGTTTTATGCCTCAGAAGGTTGCCTCAAATAAAGACATTACATAAATCATTATGATTGTGCTGCCTGATGGCTGAGACACTTTTTATGATAATTGTATGATAAGGGTTTTGGTCTAAAACACATTAAAAAGCCATTCATGGTAATGGGGAACATGCAGGGCATTGTAAAGCAAAACAGCCACCCAAAGGAAAAAAAAATGTTAAAAATCAATGGAATTCCCCTTGACGCATTCTGGAAAGTAGCAGCAGAAGCAAGTAGAGACTCTTTAACAGTGAATGTAAGAAGAGTTGAGGCTGTTTTAACCCAGAAGACAAGTGTAGGATCACTGGTCATTCTGGATAGTAAGTAAAATGGCTATATTTGCACTGTAGACATCAAAACTCCTGGTTCCTATCACCACTCACTGTAAAGAACTCAGCAACAACATTCCTAACAATTTCAGATCAAAGCACTTGGAACGACTTTACATCTCAATGACTGAATTATTAGTGGAATTTCTCTTTAACTGGGAAAAGCAATCGCACATTAAAACTGCTAGGCAGGTTAGATATTTTGACCACAGGTGCATCGCAATAAAACTGTATCTCTCTAACCACATATGCATTTACTAAAGCACTTACTAAACAAATGCCACGAGAATGTTTACACCCAGAATTCAAATAGGTAAAAAGGACAAGCAAAGCTGTTTTGAATATCCCTCCCTGCTTTATAAACATGACCAGTTCAGCTATTTTAAGAGCTTATTGTACAGTGCATCACTTGAAATGCGTGGTGAGTGGTGGCAGTGCTGATGTACCTTCTGGCTGCATCAAAATTACTCTTCACAAAGTCGTTGAAAGGTCTCATGTGCTCCTCCTTTGTAAACAACACATGGTTGGCAATACTTTGTAGAATCTGTAAGAATGAGAAAGTCGGCAAAAGGATGTATCAAATGGACACAGGGCTGCATGTCATGATGTTGGCTCGGTAGGTTTTCCTGTAGTTCAGCAGTTCTTGAGCAGTTTAAACAGGTACTTCTCCAAGTTAAGTGAACTGCATCAATTAACAACAGTTCGTCTTAAATCATTGTAATAAAAATATATGATTGTTATCAAAGAAGAAATATTACAAAATTTACAAAAAAGAAATTACAGCATCTCTTCAAATATCAATACAAATCCAATTCCAAATACTTTGTGACAGTACGTATATACACATAAAAACAGAAAGCAGTTATTAGTGAAATCTATTTGACATGTATTAAATTAAAAAACAATACAAAAACACAATATTTGATGTTCTATCTAATGAACCTTTTTTTTTTGTAAATAAAGGCTCTTCCAAACCTCATGCCTTACCTACCATACATCACCTTTTTTATTTTGTAAACAGCTTTTAAGGAATGTTTGGAGCCAATTGATACAATTCTGAATGCAGAATTTTCTGCCATTCTGGAGTTACACAAGTTTCCAGCTGCGCAACCGTATGTTTTGCCTTCATAATGCACCACACTTTCAGTAGTAGACAGGCAGGCCAGTCTAGCACCTGCACTATCTGCAGTGATGCTGTTATAACACATGCAGCATGTTTCAAGCAAAAGGCAGTATGCGAGCCCAGAGAAGTCGGCGGCGTTTCTGGACTGTGTATAGTACAGGCTTAACCTGGGTGTGTGCGCGCAGCAGCGAACAGCACTTACCGTGAACAGTTTGTCAAAGTATTCAAAAGCCCATGTTGTAATATGAGTCACAGAAACATGGGTTTTAATGCCGTGCTGTCTGAGGAATCTAAGGTCTCGGGCATTCAGTTGTGGTTTTCAGAATTGCGTTAGGAGCACAGATATTTCGGCAGATTCTCTGAATCTTTTGATGATATTATGTGCTGAGAAGGGGGAGTTACTTAAAATCTTTGCAAATGCTCGCTAATGTAAACAGTTGGAGTCTCGACCCTTCCTTGCTCATAAAAGTGTTGGCTTTTCTTGGATATTTCCTTTCATAGCCAAGCATGATTGCATTACGTGTTTCACATCTTTTTTGAACATTTCACAAAGTTTCAAGTCTGTCTCAAGTTTTTTAGACATCAATTTCAGAATGAGCATACATGTTTACAAAAAACAATGAAGTTGACAGGGTTCAACACTAATCATCTTGTATTTGTACTGTTTCTGTTTACAGGTCAAAGTGGATTTACAAATCACTGCTTTCCGGTTTTTGTTTTTTTTTTTTTGCTTTTGCATTTGCCTTGTATAGACTGGAATCACTTCTCACCTTGGACATGAGTTTGAGCCCTCGCTCTATCCGAGGAGGGGGCTTCTTGTCGAGGATCCCGGCCTCATAAGGGGAGACGATGGCTGGATTGATGAAGCGCAGGAACATGGCACTGCCCACAGCTCCTATACTGTTCTGAGGAAAACGCTGACTTACCACCTGAGCCAGAAGGGAAACAAAGAAATCTGTTAATATTTTCCGTTGGACTGGTCTGAACTTTTGTAGGCTGTGTCCAAAGAAAATCATATCACTATTTCGAAGGATTAAAAGTTTAAGCTGTGACACTTCAAAGCAACTGACAGGTAAGCTTGCCACTATTGCCCTGTTAAAAACGTGTTAGAGGAGAAATAAGGAAAGCAAGGCATTTGAAATCAACTTACTACACAGAGACACTCTTCTAGCTCGTATTAGAAAGGTCCAGGTGCCAAGTGGAAGTCATGAGGGTAAGTTAAGCCATTCTGGTAGAATATGAAAGTTCGGTTTATGGTAAACCTACATTACCCGCAATGCCTTTCATCCATAAACCCCGAAACAGAGAGCCCTCCTGAGAGGTGATGCAAAGAGGGACGAGAACACGCTTTGTCTGCTGGGTTCTTTGCAAAGCGCATCAAAGTGAAAGCTTCAGAACGAGGGCAAGAAATTAGTAGTATGATTCCAGGTGATGACTGTCAAAAGGTGGGCAGTGTAAAGGAGATTTAGATTAATTTAGCCATCCAAGAGAATGAAGTGCTATTACTCTACTAAAGAGAAGCAGTGGAGATGAAGGAATTCCACTGAACTTACGGATTTTTTGCTTTCCTTTTTCTCTTTAACTGTGGCTTTATTCAGTAGAGAGTGGCAAGTAGCCTACAGGACAGAGATGAGCACAAACAGGTCACAGCACTAACTATCACACACACTCATACAAAAACAAACACAAGCCCATGGGTCACTCCACACCAACTCACCTAGGGCCTGTCCTGTCACGTCACAGATTTCCATGAAGAAAAATTTAGGCAAAAACTCAAATTTAATTTAGGCAACCATGCAAAATTGCAAAGCTGTGCTCCAGTTCATTTTTTTTTGTTTTTCGGAATGAATTTTTAACATTTTGACTTTGAGAACACTGAGTTCTAACCTGGATCTTAAATGTTGAGTCTAACTACTTTCAGAAAGACTGAAACAAGCAGAAATATTAAGTGTGTACAAATGCAAGAGAAAGAATAATTATTAATAATAGTTTCATTTTAAATAAACTGATTTCATGTTAAGTTTGGTAGTTAAGTTAGTGGAGGATGTATTTCGTACAATAAAAATCTGTTTAAATCTGAAATGTAACTTTTAATCATTTTATAATTTAATAGTTATTTTTACAACATGTAGGTTTAATGAAGTATTTCTTCATTTATATCAAACAAAATATTTTCTGCATGTAATACTGGAAGCTGTATCATGAGAAAAATGGCTTTACAACTAAAGGACTGACCCTATATTGTCTTAAAAGAGAAAGAGTAAGTCAATCAGTCAGTGAGTCAATCAGTCAGACCCTCACATTCAGCAGGCTGAAGATTCTCCACAAGGGGGTGCTATTAGCACTCACATAAGTTCTGGTGCTTCATAAGAACAGTGCTTCAAATCAGTAAAATTGTGTCCTTGTTTTTCTGAATAAGAAAAGTTATGTACCAATATAAAAACCCGATGAGCCAAAAAATACTAATGAAACTGACCACATCTTTGAAATTGTGCTTTTTCTTCTAAAACCATAACATGACTGGACAGGCCCTAAGTGAGTTGGCACAGAATGACCCTCATGACTAAAATGCATCTGAAATCTCCAGTCATCTACTGTGAGAACTGATCCACTCAAACTGAAGGCACGAATACCACTGCAGTCCTGAAAACAAATCATATTTGACATGAATCCAGCACAAAAATAAAGCCATACACTTAACATTTACACTAGTAGAAAGTTTACAACAAAGCACAGATGACACTGAAAACAGTGAAAGGCTGTTTGCTGATCTTAGTTCGTTCCCCAAAACACCACCTGGACCCATAACACAAAGACACAAGCTGTGGGGCAGCCATCCGACTACTGCCCCTGCCCTGCCCACCTGGAACAGGCAGTGACAGACACTCCTCAGCTGTGGGGGGAATTCACTTGAGGAGCTGATAATGGCCAGGAAGAAACGGTTGGTCATCTGGAGCAGGTTGCGCTGGTTTTCCTCCAAGACTTCATTGGGCTCCAGTCTAAAGGACCAGCACAAGGAAAAATTAATAGATAAAAAAGGAATAAAAAAAAAATAAATAAAAAAAATAAAATAAAAAAAATTTTTCACCCACTGACACATCCTCACACTTTAAAGGGCAATTTTTCAAAAAATTCTGGTCTTATGTGAAATGGTTTATTGTAGGAAAAATATCTTAGAGGTAATATTTTATATGTTTTTCTTACATATAATGTTGATGGTAAAATAGTGGTAAATATGAAAAATTAGGTTTTCTTTGGGTTCTATTCTGCATACATCTCTCCCCTTTTCTGAGCTTCTAAATGCATTAAACTTTTCAGACATCTGGTTCTTATGAACACCACTGTGAACAATTCTGACTTGGCAATTTCTTCAGAACAGAGCATTTCACATCAAACCACTGAATAACTGTGTTTATATGTACCATTTAATTATGCAGAAAATCCACAACTGAACAGAGTCCAGTAAAATTTCTGTTTGAAAATGACCCGAACCGGCCCATCACCCAAAGTGTAGAACCGTTAACTACATACATTCGTTACCACATACAGACAATAACAGAATTTAGGTCTTGGACAAATGCAATAAAAAAGAAATGTAAAATATTATGATATGATAAATGAGCCGGCTGTCCAAAAGTAAATTTAACATCCTCTTTGAATTCATTGAAGACAAAGAGCTTTTGAACAACATCCCAAACATTTTTAGTCTGGATAAACTTTCCATAATGTGCTAAAATCTGAAGCTGGGAAATACAGGGTAAAATCTGTTCCAAAGCAGGGCTGTGAGAACCAGCACATGAAAACTGAGCCAGAAAGGACATCCAAAACCAAAATGAGCAGCACGGTCTTGTCGGGCTCTGCCAAATATTTTAACAACTTTTTTTTTAAAACTTAGTTCTCAATATTAAAGAACTTTTTCAGACATTTTATTATTTTTAATAGCTCTGTTCATCTAAAATCTCTTCACTTTTTACAGCATCCTATTTGAAACCTACCAAGTTGCATAGGATGAGCACATTATAATCATTTTATACACTAGACTACAACGAAACCAGTCTTAAAACACTCCATACACTTAAAACACTTTCAAACTTTTGAATGGCAGTGTAATTTAGACAGCCTATAAGCAATTTAGATTTAGGCACAAGCATGCTTACTGGCACAAGAATGCTATTAAGATTAACTAGAAATTGTTACAAAATATTAGAAATTCAGTATTGGTATGATGTGAAATGATACTCTGTAGTACTTTAGTAATTTGGTCAGTACCACAAAGGCCTATATAAGAATATTTCTTGCCCTGTGGCATTTAGGCGACCTCTGTAGTGGCGAATTTACAGGCGTGTAATGTAAACGGGGGCACTAGAGATTCTACCTGGTGGGATCAACCTCAAAACTAAGCATCTGCCACTCAGGAGCCGTGATGACACCTCGGAGGAGGGGCTCCAGCAGCTTCTGCAGATAGGTAGCACCATACACCTGGAAGAGACAGAGACAGCGATAGAGTGAAAGACTGGACAAATGGACAGAAAATGACCATGGAAAAATAAATAACCAAGACTTGTGAGAAGTGTAATCACTCAGTCAGGAAAAATGCATTATACCTTAAAGCAAAAGGTCATGATTTTACTGGCCAGGCTGTTTCCTCGGAAGAGAGTTTGCATGGAATCGGCCAGTTCTACCTCCTTAGAGAACATGTTCCACAGCAGCTGGTACAGGAGGTGCCGCGAGTCAAAGAGAGTGACCAGAACCCGCGCCAGCTCGTCCTGAGAGAGGAGATAAACATCAGCACATCTAACGGCTTCAGACGTGAATGTGTGCATCACTCCCAAAGTACAAAATCAGTACAGACCCACTGAGAACAAGGCACTACGTTGGCCAAAGCCATAGCAATGGGCAGCTCGCCCTGGTCCCCCATCATGGTGACGAGCTCAACCAGCCTCTCAAATCGATCAGCCAGTACTGTCTCAGCGAGTGTGTCGAACTCCGTGCCCTGCTGAAGGATCTTGGTCAGCACCTCCATGAAGGTGGCTCGTGTCTGCAGGTCTTTATGGTAACCAAGCCCTGGGACAGAGAATTGCATCTCAGATCTCTGGAAATATTCTGGTGCATCGTAAGCAAGGGCTGGGTGATCGGATATTGTCACTGGAAATCAGCAATGACTGACGAATAACCCAACGTTGACCCCTTACGAGCGATAAACGTCCATGCTGGTAAAGAGAACTGACAGAAAACTAGATATGATTCTAATATTAACTTCAAGCTGCGTAGTATCAGATCATTACCAATGGAGTGCATAAGGCCACTGTCCACGTTGGCATTGAGCAGGTTGGACATGGCCAACACAGTGCAGTGGCGGAGGGAGGCCAGGCGTCTGGACATCCCCCGCTTCCGGCCAGCCACCTGCTGCCCGTCGTCCTCCACCTCACTGCAGTCGTTCAGCAGGTTCATGAACAATGTGAAGTACCTGCATAAAAAAGAGGAGGGTGGTGGAGCTGCCTGATGAAGGATGAGGTTCGAGGAACACTGCTAGGCAGGGATCTGGGGCCGGATTCAGGAAAGCTTTCATAGAAAAAACTTGCAAAGGTTTTTAAGACAAAACGCCAAGACGTTCATAAGAACGTTCTTAAAAGCAATTCTCGAAAAAAACCATAAACGATGCAAGGCACATTTTGAATGTGAATTAACTGTTATTTCCGTTTTTTAATTAAATCCACTCAGAAGAGCAAAATGGGGAAAAAGAAGAAACAGCCAACAGGAACAAAATCCTCATTGAAAATTATGATAATTGTGGGGTGACAAATGAGGACGGGCAGGAGGAGAAGAGACAGTGTCCATGATAAATTTAGATGCTTACCTTATCAACTCTTACAGCCTAAGACAAGTATGAGGGTATCGTAAGGTTAAGAAAACATTTTAGAACATTATATTTTCAAGAATACCACTTGTTCCTAAAATTGTTCTTAAAAAAGTGTTTAGAAAAGAAAATAATTCTTAATAAGTTATTTGAAGAATAACAATTTCTCAAAACTTTTTTTCTTGAAAATGAAGTTAAGAAAAAACATTTAAGAAGATTTTCTTTCTTAAGACACTTTGATGAATCCGGTCCCAGATGCTGTAACTACTGTAGAGTCTTTAATGGCCTTTAAGTATTCGTGAAGCTCAGCTGAATGTGAAAAACATGCCTTGAAGGAATTATAGAAAACATCAATGTAACTAACGATGAAGGAAAAAAGCGAATGGAAAACAACTAATACTAGTGGGTTCACAGACTCAACAGTTACTGGAGAACATTTTGGAGAAACACTGTTAGGAACTCTGACATGGGACACAGCAGCGGATGTTAAAAGAAAGTGTACAGTTGTGAGGGACACAGCAGTTCCAAGTGGTCTTACTTAAGGAAGAGTTGGGACTTGGCCTCCATAAGTTCCACACCATCTCCTTCCTCTGGCTGAAGTGGCAACCCAGCTAGCAAGGACACTACTGCTTCCATACTAGCCTGGTCCAGATCCCTATAAAGCACAAGTTCGTGCTCAAATACATTTTTAGCATCGGGGGATCACGGAGGTCATAAATACAGGAATTAATGCTGCTCAATATTAATTTCACACACTAACACTAAATGTATGTCCCTCAAATGGAACCTGTGATTCTGCTGAAGTACCTGGTCAGACACTTCACATCATCGTCAGCTGCCTGGTTGGAGGTTCCCATCACCCAATCTGTTAGATACTCCACCATTTTATTCCTGAGAGACACAAACATCATGATAACTTCATAGAAGGAGGAGCTGCACACACACGAGATCTTCCAGACAGACTAAAATCCTTCTCACCTGAACTTCATCTCCTGGCAGAAGGACAGATCATCTCGGCGCTCCATCATCACCTCGACCAGCTGGCACAGCTTGGTTTTGATCTGGATGGCGTGAACCATGTTCCCCAAAATACGCACATACCTGCCAACACAACAGCATTCAGAAAGGACAAGGAAATTGACTGTGAATATAATAAAATGTGAATATAATAAAATTTTTATTAAATCAAAAAGGAATGCTAAATATAAGCATTTTCACTGGTGGTCTCTGATACTGGACCCGACTATACTGCAAGGAATATTGCAATATCAAGAAAAAAATATGGTATCTTGTTCACATCTTACAGCCCTACCAGACACACTACAGCACACATGCCTTGTGCACTGTTCATATAGGGTACATACGTAAATGGCAAACATACCTAGTCAAAAATGTACTGGTCGAATTCTTCAGTATAGAGGCTCTTACCTGACCAGGTTGAGCATCATGGTCTCGATGCTGGCCTGGCCAAGATGTTCAGAGCTGCCTTCTGTGTGGTTATCTAACAGGTTCTTCATTATAGCAATAGTCTGCTCCACAAACTGTGTGTTGGTCTCATTGATGGGTACCTACAAAAGATACGCAGCACTTTAAACCCTGAGCCCGACACAGACAAGAGGACGCAACGTCAGAAGCGTCAGCCAGATGAACCAAAGTAGCTCCCAATTCTGGCCCTGGAGTTCCTGGTCAAGCAAATTTTACAGATATTTTTGCTCCAACATGCTGATTTGATCTCAAGAAGAGCTTATTAATGAACTGATGAGATAAATCAGTTCAGAGAAAACCCCAAAATATGCAGGATAAGACCAGAATTGAGAACCGCTGGCCAGGAGTTACATGTGAACTGGTAGTTAAACTTTAAAGCCACTGACCGGGCCCTGGGCGTCGAAGAAGCGGCTGATGCTGTTCTTCAGCTTGTTGAAGAGCATGGGGTAGAGGGCCGGGCTCAGCTCCAAGCCCACAAGGTCCTTGACGTTGTTGCGGATCTGCACGCCCTTCTCGTGGCTGCACACCATGAGCGAGAGCAGCCGGTCCAGAAACTTGCTAAGAGGCGTCTCGGCATTACCTTCGCACGAGCCCATTGAGATCATGGAACCCTTGCGCTCACTTAATGGTCCCATTGGGGGGCTGTAGGTGGCTGGGCCAGGTGTGTTCCTCTGCTGCAAACAGACCCCACCCAGGGCACATAGGAAACCAGTCATGTTGATCCATTCCTGAGAGAGAGGACAAAAAGATTAACCATGTTTTTGGTACAATATTTAAGGATACAACAGCATGTTTACTCTACAGTTTCCATGATATAGAAAATAAATACTACCTGACAATCTTCCAGCTTTGTTTTTGGATGGTTAAGAATTAATTTGGTGGCATGCTCCCATTTCGCATACGTGTCTTCCCAGGCCTATAAATACATTTACAGTTACCATCAATGAAAAGGCATTCTCATAACACTACAAATCCAGATTTTATATTCCGAAACTATTACATGTATATATTTTTATTCTATTTAAACACAAGCCAACACTCTTTTGTTCATAACCACATCCTAGAATATTACTATAGTGTATTACTATATTATATACCGTTGTTAGTAATTGCACAGTCATTCGAGCAGCATTTTTTTCTGACTTCAAATCGGAATATTGTCTGGGATCTGGGAATAACTACTGCAGTACCAACAACTTCACCATAGGTTCTTTACAATGACCTCAGTGTTTTGTTTTGCAAGGCTGACAGGTTTTTGGTTTTGTTTTTTTTTCTTTTGCTCCAATAGTTCTGGCAATGACTACCAGTGTAATAGTTTAATTAATAAGAAACATTTAATATCAGACAACTGTTTAGAGGAGCTTAGTCACTGATGTATTAGAAGCTGTGCAAAAGTCAGAGACATCCATTTACTCAATTTTCAGTCAAATGGCCACTTAGTATAAGTCCTTCATTTTAAAGCATCAAGCAAAAAAAAAATCCAAAAAACACATTTAATACAAAACTACACGTAAGCCACAACAACCAAATGAAATGTCTTTTTTTTCAGTGTCCAATTTTTGCCTTACAGCTTCCACCCTTTTCAGGAGACTCTCTTTCAGTTTTTCTAATAAATCTGCAGCTACACCTCCAAAGTTCAGTCTTAGTAGTCGGTTACATTTCCTGCTTCTCATGATACAAGTAACGCTGAAAACATTCAGTGATGCTGAGGCCTGGACTCTGGGGTGGTCAGTCCACCCACAGCAGCTTCTTTGTTTGATATGCAGATTTTCTTTTGTGTTTCCTTTTTCTTTTCTCTCTAGTTTTTTTGTATTTCCTTTTCTCAGTAAGAGCTTCTTGACAGCTACACATCCTTTCAGACGCATAGAGTTGTCTTCCCACAGGTACTGTACACTTACAAATTGCGCAAACATCCACTTTAACAAGGTAGATTAATGCCAACCAAAATCAAAATCATGAAACGTGCTGCTCTATTAAAGATTTACTAAAAGTAGAGAGGGTGCAATGAAGTGGCAGAACTAAATTAACAGTAAACTGCATAATGATTTTAATCATTGCGTTCCGACATGTTTTTCTGATTGCAACCAGTGGCTTCCCAGTAAAGAAGCGGGACAGTCGGTCCTGACCTCTGTGTTACCAGGTGTGGGTTGCTCTATCCTCCTCAGCAAAGCCATTACCCTCTTCTGTAAGGCTGAGCGACCTACAGGGTACATAGAAAAACAGACAGGGAACAACTGGAGAGGTGAAAAAGGCACATACAGAGAAAGTTGCTGCTGCCCTCTTCTGGATGATGAGGACTTTAACATCCATACGAATTCACAAAGTCGAATTTATCAATAAGCTGGATACCTTAAAGCAAAAGTGAGGCTGGACTTTTGGCTTAGGTGAGCTGCCTAACTGAATAATCTTGCTTTGTGAAACATCCTAAGTAGACTTATTTTCCTATCCAGATGATTTGTTCACAATGAGTAAGACAAATAACAAAAAATAAATACCTGTTGCCATCATGTTGCTGACAGAGGCAAACTCCATGAAGGTATTGTAGTTGGGAAGGATGGTCTGCACGGGTACTTCGTCTACACCGCAGCGGATATCCGCCTCCTCGCACAGATGACGGAAGCAGGACATGGCCACCAGCACAGCCTCCATGTCCGGGCTCCACAGGAACATGTAGAGGCAAACCTCCAGCTTGGTCTGGGCCTGTCTGCAGATGGGGATCGCGCTGCCTGTCGTGGCTCGCTCCTGAAAAGACAAGAATAAGACCCAGCCTTTAACATGTGCGCCCTTAAACTTCAAGTATGAAAAACACTTAAGGATGTAAAAGAAAAGAAAGAACACCAGATGAAGACTGTAGCTCACTTTGTTCCGGAGGAGAAACTTGTTCCTGCAGATGAGGATCTCCCTCAGCCACTTCAGGATCTCTGTGCTGTTGATCAGCTGATGGCCGATGAGCTTCTTGCAGATGAAGAAAAGGACCTGCGAGCTGAAAGCAGAAAATACTATCAATAGTCAGGCATATGAGCATGAGCACAGGGAACGCTCAGAAGTTCAAGAAGCAGTTTAAATGGTTTCTGCATATATTGTAAGTTACGTTCTGGTGCTCATCCAGCAGCAAACAGCAGTTCAAAAATATTTCACCCCAGAGTCAACAAAGTAGGGCTGTCAAATGGGATAAGAAATTCAATTTGAATTTTCCTCTTGTCTGTTTGTCTTTGTAAATGCGTTATTTTTCTGCAACTGCAGTAAATGGCAGAAGTCAAATGTCATATCTCCTAAAGCCACAATGAGGCACGCAGCATAACCTATCAAGCGTCCTCAAAACCACTGTGTTTAATCCAATGATTCTCAGCCTTGGGGTCGCAACTCATAAAACAGTCATCAAAAGGTCTATACATCTCTGAGGATGACTTACCCATAAAATTCACACAGTGATACCTCCTTATCATAAGCTAAAGAGAGAGGACTCTCTGAAAGCGCGAGCACACCGATCGTAGGGAAAGAAAAAGTCGAATGTCTGCAGTAAGTGTGAAGCAGCTTAACCACGCACGTAAACTAGCAGCTCACTTCACTACCTAAATATTAGTTTACTGCCCTACAAAGCGTCCACACCTGTAGCTTTGGCTTTTCAGAAAAAATCTGGACAGATCTTATGGATAACTCACATGACAATCTATTTCCGCCTATTATCGTTATTCAGTGTATAAAGAAAAAAAAAATTATTAAGAATGTCTGAGTTAATAAAAAAAAAATTGTTTATTGTTAGCAACGCAATGTCCTTCCTTCTTATCGACAGTCATGGTTTGCGATTGTATTACTAAGGCTACGTCCACATTACCAGGCTGTAGTGGTACAAATGCAATTTTTGCCTTATTGTGACACAGATCTAATGTTTTCAGAGCAGTGGGAACATGCAAATCATATTATGGTCTATTCAAATCAGATCTGAGCTATTTTCATATGTGGTCCTAGATAAGATACATATCTGATTCAAGGCCATGCGACCTTAATGAGAACACTCAGATCGGAATCCATGTTTTTTTTCTCACTGCACATGCGGCACCATTCAGTTTTAACATAGCAGAAGCGCTGAATCTGATGTTAGTGCCAATAAACACTGCAAATGCAAAGCATCTGACAAAAGTAAAGAGCTGAAGGGCTGTTCAGAGCCAGTTATCGTTAAGGTTTATTCTGCTGATCAGTTTGTTTATTGTTCTTGATGCATGTGGTTCATTCACATGGCGTTATTAATTAGGACGTGCGCCTGCGGGTCGTTTCAGGACACAGATTTGATACATTAATGACAGATATGATTCACGTATATACATGAACTGTATCAGTGCAAAAAATCAAAACTGAGCAATGAGGATTGTAATGCAAACGTAGCCTAACTAAGCTGGGACACACTATGAGCTGCAGCAGAGATGGCTTTCAAAATTCCACATTGACGTGCATTTTTTTACAAATATTCAAATGATATTTTTTAGACAGCCTTCACTGTCAAAAACCACAAATTAAAAAGTTGTGACGCAGAGGTTCTTCATCTGTTTGTAGTGCTGCCGCAGCATATTCTGCTCAGTCCCACCGTACCTGATGTCCCAGAAGGTCTCCATAGGAGTGTCTGGATTCCACAGCTCAGTGGTCTCTGGCTGATGCAGAACTAGTAAAGCCTTCACAAGAGATCATATCTGATTAATTACTGCCACAAACATGCACAAAGAATACCCAGCAGCTTCTACTACTACAATCAAATGCAGCCTCAATGGGCCACAGTTACAAGGAACATACGAACATTCTTCAGACTCTACCTGCAATTATCACAGACAAGTAAATGAGGGTGTAAAACACTGGAGTATCCCTTCAATTAGCATATTTCAATTCTTTCTCTCTTCTCTTAAATTTAGCCACAGCAATGCACAGAATTCTCACCTCCATGGCCTCTTGGGAAATGTCCCCCATGTTGGCGAGAGGAACCAGCTGCACCAGGCCTGTGATGAGTTCTGCTGTGCTGCTCTGGATCTCTTGGCCCTGTTTCCCTGGATTCTGTTCCACACACAGACAGTATGGTCAGTACTAGTGGTGCATGATATCTCTGTGGTCAACATATTATTCACCAATGAAAGGAAAAGTGTTTCATTATTAGTATTATTATTATCGTTCTGATTTACATCCCCACATACAGAAGATCAAAGGTCCTCTTCAGTGAGACTTTTTTCACTAAAAAAATAACTGCAAGTTAATGAGGAAAAACTATTTTGTCATTGATAAAGTCAGTCCAAAACTGAGCTGACTGTAAAGAAAAATAGTTCATATAAAATAAACATAAAATTATTACAGGATGTATCTAAATTCAGCATCCTTGACAACAGACAATGGTTGGCCATCAAAGGTAATGAATTCCATTCATTTTTAAGTAATATTTATGTCAGCAACAACAGATGGTGATGGTGTACTAGCAGGGACTTTTCTTTTTGCTTCTGTTGTGCTGTTGTGTTCTGTGTACTGTGTGAGAGTTGTGTTTACAAGTATTATCAAACCTGTAGTGGAGAAGTTCTTGGGTCTTGTATCCCTTGTTAATACTCAGCATGAATAAAGACTACAAAACTGCTTGTCTAATGTCCTTCACAGAAACTGTAAAGACCTCCCCACGGTTGACATTTCCACTGTTGATCTGCTGCCACTCAAACTGTTAGAATGAGTCTGCGCTACCAGCATAAGAGAGCTAAGACAAAAAAAAGCAGCTTTTAATCACTGTTTCCGATTTTCATTACCATTATTTGAAAAGAGTTTTTGACTCTTGTTTATTTTGTGCAGTGAATATTTTTCTTTCGGCCCAAAACCAGAAATGACCACAACCAAAACATTGTGGTTGCTGAAATTTCGATGCATCACTAGTCTTAACGCCTGTAAATGACCTGATAACAAGTAAACAATGAGACATAAAGCCACAACAGTTTAATGTGTCTCAATGACTGCTTATGATGGGATTTCAAGACGGGACGAACGGTACCGCTCATACTCACTATGGCAGTCTCTTGCTTCTTTGTTGTAAGACCAAAATGTGCTCTCAACTCCTTGTTCATGTACATCTACAGGCTGCTACAAGTGTTAAGATCTTATTGTTGGGGTGTTATGGCAAAAAATCATTTCACAACACTTAAAAGCCATTTTCACGATACTTTTCACATACTATGCTGCACTAAATGCAATTAAACAGGCTTTATTATGTTCTCCATCTAATGAAACATGCTGTTTCTTTGGTCAGTGTTCCTAATGTACAAACAACTTCCATGATATGCTAAAGCGGAAGAGATGAATACGGAAACCACAGAGCTACTCACTCTTGAAATACAAGAAAGTAAAGCTGACAGTTTTTGGAATCAAGCACAGTAGTGTTCATTATCGATTATCATTATAGCTACGTTTGCATTACATGCCTCATTGCTCAAATCCGATTTTTTGCTCAAATCCGATCTCTCTGACAGGATGGTTCACATTCGTTTAGGTAAGTGATTCAAATCTGTCATTAATGTGAACAAACCGGCGTCCTGAAATGACCCTCATGAGCTCATCCTACTCAGTAATGTCACGTGAATGAATCACGATCATCATCAGCACAAACTAACGAGCAGAACGAGCTTCGCTGAGAAGATAGTTAACTCTGATCAGCTCTCAGCTTCATTATTACAGCGAGACGAAGGAGAAAAGGTGACATGTGTTTCATTTCCACTGTTTACAGGCTTTAACTTGTGTTGGTAACGCTGAATGATGGTGCACGTGCAGTGGAAAAAAAGCACATGAATTCTGATCTGAGTGTCACATTAAGGTCACATGGCCATGAATCGGATATGTATCCGGTCTAGGACCACATATGAAAGTGGCTCAGGTACACACAGCCCTGAAAACTTCAGATCACATTAGGGCAAAAAATCAGATTTGTGCCACTTCAACCTGGTAATGTGAACGTAGCCTGTGGGCCCAGAAACACCAGACTGGTTCATAAAATAGCCAATTTCATTCAAAATCTGATCATTTTCTTATCCGTCAGCCTATCCTAAAAACATCTTTAACGTAAAACATACAAAACAAAAACTCACATGTAGCATTAGTTTGGGATCAGCATGGATGAGCTTGACCAAGGCCAGCAGCAAATACTTATGACCCCTTGTGTCCAGGTCCGTTGTTTTCTCTTTGAACTTCAGGCTGGTCATCTTCTCCTTAAACGTCAGACTCTGGCACAAGAAAAGGATACCTGAGTCAGTCACAGCAATCACTTTGGTATTCATTACTATGAGAGATGGCAAAATCTAGAACCAGGAAAACCGAGGGAACAAGTCATGGGACCAGAGGAAAAAGGAGAGCGACACAAAGGCAGATCAAACTGGCAAACAAAGGTTCTCAAAGTCGTTTTGATCTGAGATGAAGGCCCACATTACACGGGTGTCACTGGCACTGTTTCATGAGGGAATGAGAAAACAGGGTCATGAAACAGAGGTCACTGATAACACAGCCTAGATGGGTGATATACTGTGTGACATTCCAAAGATGGAAGGATTCCATCATCTCTGTAGAGGGTTCGGACCCGATGTGGTTGCTTTAGTTTGTTTTCCGCTACAAGTTTATCATGATTTTAACTTAATCTCAAATCTCAGCTCCATAGGAGGAGAAAAGTTTGGGCCTTTGTCTTCATATGAAGTCCACTTTGTTCAGGCATTCATTAGGTTGGTGAAACTCACTAAGTAGAGTCCTCTTTGCTCTGAATTGGAAAGTGATTGCGTACAGCTGAGAATAATGTATGACTGTAACATACCTCCTTCTTAGGCAACTATACCAGAGATTACATCTCAGAGACCCTGTCCACTCATATCTGGATATTTCTAGAACTTTGTGACCTCCTGTGTACAAGAAAATGGCACTTTCGGTCACCGTTTTCGTTCACTGAGTATGCAGAACTTCGTCTGAAATACAGTTGACCCAGTTTGTTATTGTCTGCCCAGTAAATTGGGGTCGATCAGGTTGTTGCGCCTCACCTACTGCACTCAATTTACACAAGTCACTTTCTGCAAAACAGGCACTTTAATCTGTATACATTGTCTGCAGCTTCTGGCAGTGTCTATGGTTTTGCTGCTAAGGACTACTTTTAATTATCAGTAATTTGCACTGATGATACATGGACAGTGGTCAATGCTGCTGTCGACTGTTGCTGTAGCCCCCCCCCAAATCTAGTGTCTGTTTAATGGGTCGTCAATATGCGGCTCATTTACTGCCCTGTTGCGGCTCCACAAGTTCTGCTGATCGTTCAAACACAGTTGTAACAATAAATGGTTGTAAACGCTGGAGCTAATGTATGACTGCTCATTCACCCTTTAATCCTGATGGTTGGTGCGCAGACTGCTGGTCACCATAACGCGGACAACAGTCCTGCCTAGCTAGTAGCTAACAAATCAGCAAAGAGAAAGATTTAAGGCAAACATTGATAATTCGGAGATGAATGGACTTATTTGCAATTTCTAATCATTCTAGCTGGTTTCCTGATGTTTAATCTGCAACGAGAAACTAAGAAGTCGTGAGTCAGCTTCTCGTTTGCCCGCTTCTTGGCAAAATTTCCCGTTCCACCTTAAATGGTGCAACAGTTACATTCTGGCGCCTCAGGCACCATTTAAGGTGGAACGAGAAAATTTAAACAAGAAGCCTGCAAATGAGATGCTGATTTCAGCCTCATAAAAAGCTGAATGTTAAACATTTTACAAAAAAATTCCCTCACTTTTGAGGAAAAGTTTCCTGCTGGAGATGCGAGAAAAGCGACCGCAGCTGAGCTAAAGTCTGTGTTTTCGTTTATATTTATATTTTTCATCCTATACTAGCACATACTAAGACATATTTACAGCCAAGATGGTAAAATGAACATAAAATGTTGTGGCTCCTAAGGTGGTTTGATTTTTATTGAAAGGATAAAATGGCTCTTCTTAACATCTGGGTTCCCGACCCCTAGTCTAGCATCTAGTCCCTCCAGTCCTGTGGTTAATGGTTATAATACTTTATTGTATATTCTGTAGTAAAGTGTATATTATAGTGTTTTACTGTCCTGTATAGTGTAGTGTATAACGTACTGTTTGTACTACTAAATGTTCCACCGTGTCCTAGAGAAAAAATATTAATTCCTCACTCAACACATTTGTCGTGGAAAGGAATGACGAAGGTGACTACGAAGGCTTCACAATCGACCGCGGTCAGATCTTTTACAGTCAGACAGAGCTTAAGTTAAAGGTTTGGCACTTTGGATCATTAACCAAGGTCAAACTTGGAAAAACAGCTAGAAAAAGTGCATGGTATCCATAGCAACACAAACAATCTCACAGCAGTAGGCAGTAGATTTATTTTAGCTTGTTTAAGCTTTTATTTTCTGGCAGAACTCAAACATCGAGTTTTGGGCCAATTCTGGCTTTCCTATCTGAGTGTTAGGCATGCAGACTAGAATAGGGCCACATCCAGGACAGCTTCATACCCTTTTGCCTTTTGTATACATTTGTGGGACAATTCTGGCGTGAATATAGTGGACAACAATGTAGTTGGGCCAGATTGGGGCCAGATTTGGGCCATATCCTTTAGTTCTTCTCACTTTACAGTGTGTGGGTCAGATCTGGGCCGAGGACCCATCCAAATTCTGGGCCAGAACAAACCAAGGATGTGGCCCACAAGTGAGCCAGACAAATTTTGCTAACTGGGTTGCGTGCTCACAGTGTCCTTCTTGAGATGTTAGACATAAAAGTTCTTGAAGGACTATCACCCCTTACAATAGTGGCATTTTAAGCCCTATATTTCATCTATCTTTCCTCAAACATGATGTTTTTCACCCTGTAGCACCAAAATGGCTTTCTGCAGTAGCATTAGTGGTCCATGTGGTTTTCGAAAATATGCATTGTTCACCAAGTCAGTCTGCAGTGAGACATGCCATGTAAGCGGACTCACTTTCTCTCCCGCACTCAAACGCACACTCACTCACGCAAACAGTGGCGAGTTCGGAAGGGCTTCGAGGCAGAGCAGCTGAACACAGAAAAGGCGGAGGACGACAGGGGCTCTCTTTTCTGTGGCAGCCTTGGAGGGGTGAGGAGTGGGCAGGTCAAGGAGTGGGAGTGAGAGGAGTAAAGGGTGGGGCTGGGCACTGGAGAGTGAGGGGTGGAGGAGCCATACTTACTGCAACAGAGGCCCACTGCCATGCAAAACAGTGACTGGCTGGCATCTGGTCAAGTGAGCGACAGCCGCCATTCAACAAAACAAAGGGAGGAGATGAAAAGAAGGCAGGGAGGAAATAAAGAAGATAAAAAAGAAGCAGAGGACAAAGCACCACCAAAGTCGTTAACGTTATCAGAGAGCTGCTGCACCTGCCGTCCTCTACCGCCATGAGATGAAGCGCGCACACTCACAGATGAGCTATGAGATGACAAAGATCTCTCACACCCACAGTACCTTACTGTCTCTCATATTAACACAGATACAGTGAGAGAGTCAGAGAGATGCAGTCAGAGAGTAAAACCAAAAAGTCAGGTTTTCTGGGTTAAAACACAAAAAAGATGTCAACTGAGGCAGTACCAAAACTTTGTGGCGCTGTGTTTTGACGGTCTCAGCTCATCCACAAGGGTGTAAAATTTGCACGTTCTTTTGACCGATAACCAACAATCACGAGTCAGCGATTAATCGTTAACAAGCAAAGCCTAAACTCTACGGACACAACCCATCAAAATGATCATTTTATAATTCCATAAAAATCCAGTTCTGTTTAAACTCAGAAGCTGACAACTATAATATGTTCATGATTGTTAGACCAAAAAAGTTGACGAACTGACTGTAATATACACCGATCAGGCATAACATTAGGGGCTGCTGGAGTTTTTAAAACAGCTCAGTGTCGCTGCTGGACTGAGAATAGTCCACCAACCAAAAATATCCTGTGGGCAGCATCCTGAGACCACTGATGAAGGACTAGAGGATGACCAACACAAACTGTGCAGCAACAGATGAGCTATCGTCTCTGACTTTACATCTACAAGGTGGACTGACAAGGTAGGAGTGTCTAATAGAGTGGACAGTGAGTGGACACAGTGTTTCAAAACTCCAGCAGCACTGCTGTGTCTGATCCGCTCATACCAGCACAACACACACTAATACACCACCACCACGTCAGTGTTACTGCAGTGCTGAGAATGATCCACCACCCAAATAGTACCTGCTCTGTGAGGGTCCATGGGGGTCCTGACCACTGAAGAACAGGGTAAAAGGGGGCTAACAAAGTATCAGAGAAACAGATGGACTACAGTCTGTAACTGTAGAACTACAAAGTGCACCTATATAGTAAGTGGAGCTGATAAAATGGACAATGAGCGTAGAAACAAGGAGGTGGTCATAATGTTATGCCTGATTGGTGTACAATGTTGGGCTGCTGAAGCTTCTATATTCTCAGGTCCTCAAGTTATATTCATCATTCCCAGGCAAACATAAATGCTATGACCAAGGCTTGCTTTGGCTCAGTGTACCTCAGTTCATTCAGTTGAATATATATTATAGAAAAGGTGACCCTGCAAAGCATTTACTGTGGACCACTCGAATAAAGTGCAACCAGAATATCGAAACACTGTCTTTTGTCTGAGTGTGTGTGTGTGTCTCACCGGAGTCATGCGCAGCGGAGTGTGGGTGCCGCAGCCTTGTATGATTCGGCCAAGCGTTTCGGCGAACATAGCGCGCAGCTCGCCAGAATAACAGTACACAGCATCGATCTTAGGCCACCAGTCCAGCGGAGACTGCAGCAGGACAGAGGACTGTTAGCCTGGATTTAACAGCTGCTCAGAGACCATGTGTGTTGGAGGGAAAACTTACATTAGTGATGATTCTGTGCAGGGAGTTCACCAAGACAAAGTGGAAGGTGGGAGGTGAAGATGATGCCAGGCAGACCTGTTGAAAAGCAAAAAAAATCAACAATAAATAAAATAAATAAAAATAAATAAAAAAGGATCATCACCACAGTGACAAAAAGTAAAAGAAAGAGAAGAGTTGAGGTGTCAAAAACCACACAGGTAAGTCTATTTGAGATCCCTAAATTAGAATTTTTTAAACCTCTGCATAATTCAGTTGTTGAAAGATGAACCATGTCATACAGAGTGTTTGGAAATAAAATGGTGCATTGTAGGAAAATGTATCGTCTCAGTGAGTCGCGCTGTCTACAACACAAATATAGTCATGTTACTTCTTACATTATATTTCTTTAAAGGCCATTTTGCTTGTAAACACCCTACATACACCCCTACACCATGAATATATTAAAAAATAATGTGTTTAGGAAACAAAACAAAAAAAGTCTTGTAAATCTACCACAAAACTATATCAGACGTCTGGTTCCAATCACCACCACTGTGAATAATTCTGACTCTCTAAGTTCCTCTAAAACAAAGCATTTCCCTTCAAACCATCCTGAATAACTGTTTTTCATCTAACTGATTTTATTGCACACACATTTTGTTAGCTACATCAGCAAAAAGAGAGGAAAACGAAGGAAAGGACATTTTAGACACTAAGAATGTCTGAATGGCTGATCGGCTACTTTGCTGGTAAAGGACACAGATACGGACGAAGTCTCCTGTCTGTACTTTGCAGTACCACTGGAAATCATGGGGGGCAGTGTAGGCAATTGTAAGAAATTTCCGTCTATATGTCGCAAAGTACTCACTGGCCTCACAGACCACAACCAACTATAACACTGCTTTTTTTTGTTCTGTTCTTATAGAAGGTATTATTACAACCTCCTCCACTGTAACCATGTTTGTTGCAGTTAGAAACATTTTACTCTAGACTGCCCTCTAGTGGATGTATTGCTTAACATCCATGCAAACATAGGACCTATGGAAGTATGTGGGCAGTGATGGTTACACTGTTTAAAATGGATGTATTTATTTTCATATGAAAAGGGTGTATTAATGAGCCTTAAGGGGGAAACCATGCACATTGGTTTATTTGTTAAATTTCTGATTAACCTTTTTAACTCCGCACTGTCATATTCTTTACTTCACAGCTTCATTCAAAAGGTCGGTGTCATATGAGAGCTTTAACTGTCTTCTTTCCGGTCAAATAGATGGGTAATGTAATTTTAACACTTTATAATAAAAGAAGCTGAACTCACAAAATTTTTTTCTACTGACCGTTGACCAAATCTGAGCTATGAACTGGATCTCATTGCGTCTCTTCAGTGATCTGCTCTGTGAAAATTATTTTTATAAACAAGTACCAAGAGCGTCTAAGATTTTTTGCCTTTCAGCAGTAAATTGTAAGCATATTGCAGTATGATTATGATCTTAAAACACATTTTCTGTTAATTAGAGGGAAGCTTTTACAAAAATATATATATATATTTATTTATTTCAGGCAGTTATTGAATAATTTGCCTTACGATTTGGGAATAAATTCAGAGGGAAAAAACGAAATATACCTACAAGCATAAGAGGTTAAAGCTCTACAGCGCTATTTGGAAACCTCAGTTCAGAGATTGTAAAAGTTGTGACAGAATGAAAAACTACAGCGTCTGATGATGTGCTTTCCGTGGATGGCCATGTGAATCGGCAGTGGTTCACAGACCTTAAAGTGCTGGTTGTTGTGCGGGTTGATTCGGAAGCAGGAGACGAAGCAGTCGATCATCAGATCTACGTCCGCGCTCTGGCTGCCTGCACCACGGGAGAACGGCTTAGCTGGGTTAAATAAGAGAGCCTGGAGGAGAACAGACACAAAGTCAAATAAAAAAAAACTGTCATAACCTTATTATCTTTGTAATAATGCTGACATCACATCTGTAAATGAGTGAGTGCAACATGAATTATTTTACAGCTATAATATGTGTTTCACTCATGCCATGTCAGTGTTTGTGCCTACATCACATTCACCTTGTTTCTACAGGGAAGACTGTAGTAGCTGTATTCAACCTGACAGTGTTCTGGGTTGAAATGTTTCAATTATTTGGAAGCATTTTGAACAGTGTGCATGTATTTTTTGTAAGAATGCATAACAAGAGACTGTGGAATGCAAAGAAACAAGCAAACTAGGATCTTCTGGATTCATTTCTATGGGAAAAGTGGGAAAGTCCACAGACCTTAAGGTCCACAACAATGGACTGCACCAGGAGGAAGATGACGGAGTGGTCCTCCCAGTTGATGTAGGTGGAGGCTTTGCACAGTTTGACGCAGGCGATGGCTGCGCTCTCGGTCAGCTGCTTGCTGCCCCCATGGCCTGCCAGAGCTTTCCTCAGGTTCTCCAGAAACAGTTTCTAAACAGACAGAGCAATTATGCATTAATGGTCCAACATCTGGAACATATGAAGATAATAAAAGAAGGTTATTTGCAGAATCTATGACTAAAGCAATGTGTGCACAAAAAGATCAAAATCTGAATTATTTTCTTTTCATATGAGGAAAAAAATATAAAAAAATGACGTTTTATTTTCTTTATGTGAAATTCAGGACATACACAGTGACTGTGCATTAAACGTGCAGAAGTGTGTTCTCTGTAGAGGATAATTTAACTTATTTTTACTTAGTAAATCAACAAAACATGAATTTTGACCAGGAGTGCTCAAACTTGTGGTAGCATTTGTTTACTTATTTGGGTCTTCAAATAAGGCATAAAATTAGTAAATGTTAAACCTCCCATGTTTTATGTTTTTTGAAAAAACCTCATATGTTGTGGAAATGGGTGAGAGATGCTTTGCGTCAGTGGCAAAATGTAAATGTTACATTTAAAATGGAATAAATATGATTGGGTGACCATCAGTCTACTTTTTTTTGAGGGGCGGGAGGCAAACACAGCATATGTGTGGGGGAAACACGCCGTTGGGGGTGTGCTTTACACATACATGGCACCACTTTTATCAGAAAAGTAAAACTGTGTCTTACACACCGGCTGCTATTCTTTTTAAAACCTCTTCTAGCTACACACGGATACACAGCACTTTCTGAGGTTTGTATAAAGAACACAGTATGAACAGACAGAACCACATTGTCGTTGCAGGGTTTAGATGGGGTGTGTGTGTGTACCTTGTTAACCTTGGTCTCCTCCACTGGCTCTCGTGACAGGTCCTGTGTGATGTTGGGACAGAGGATGAGGAGGATGATCTGCAGTGGCCAGACGGCTGCTTTCCTCTTCGCGCTCTCAGCAAAACTGTCCACCAGGTCAAACAGCTTCTCCGCACAGTCTGAGACACAGAAACGTTTGCAAAGATGTGATATAGCAAAATGTACAGATGTACGCAGGAATGTCAGTTATGATTATGAGAAATAATACAGGCCAGTCTCTCACCAGCCATATCTGTCTGGGGTCGCTGGTACAGCATAGTGAACTCATCTGGATAGTTCTCCACCCAGTTCCAGAACGCCTACATACACAAACATCGACAAGGTCACTTTCCAAAAAGCATATTGACTTAAATATATAGATGTTAGTTTTTCAAATGTTTAAACAATGACATGTGATAAACTTTTATATCTTCATGAACAGATATAACATACAACGGTTCCACTTACAAGCTTTGTCAATGTCTGTAACAGTTGGAATCAACTTTTTTGTGCAGTTTGAAGTATCACTGGCCTTTATTTGGCTCTATTACTCGATACAGTAAGTGATGGTGATAGCAAGCTATAAGAGCCTACTTTGAGAAATGATTTATGATGTTTTGTTACTCAGCAATGTGACGAGCATTACTGTAACTAAACTATACCAAACTTGACTAAACTAAACTTGACCATTCTGTTCTGTTCTAAATGTCAGTTTACAACCCCAAAATTAAAGAGTATACTTTTAATATTCAGTGTTTACACATTTTCACAACATATTCACTGATGGATGCAGTGCTACCCTAAAGAGCTGGCTGTTTGTACAACATTAGCCCGTTTTTGTGCTCCTAACTTGGTTCATTACTGTCACACTTTTACTGCGAATGTTAAGGGTTCTGCATCTAACACTGTATTTTGCAAGGATGCACTCATTCTCATTTGTCATTAAAGTCCTGTTAAAACTGACACAGCGTCCTCAGCTTGAATAGCTCTTTCTTTTCTGAATCAGGTTCAAAACACATTCTCATGTACATTATTTGGCCCAAAACAGAAAACTTCAAATCTGTAAATGATTAAAATAACAGAAACTGTTTCAGTTGTTCCAAAAGAGCAGTTTTTGCCACTTGTACAGTGACATACCACTAGAATTATACAAAATGCTCTCCACCCTGTTTGATCATGAGAAGCAAGAAATGTAAACCAACTTCTAAGACTGAACTTTTGAGGTGTGGAAAAATATCCCTGCAGATTTCTTTGAAAAACTGAAAGTGAGTCTCCTGAAAAGAATGAAAGCTGTAATTAAGGTTAGGGTGGACACTAATTTTCTGTTAAATATATTTTCTGCTAAAAAAATTGCTACTTTGCCTGTACATTAAATGAATGAAGGGTGGTATCAGACTTTCATAGTATAGTGTGTAGATATATGATATATATGTGCTTAAACAGAAGTTTTTTGCCATTTCTCTCAAGCAGTTTGCTACTAGCACCATGCAAAATACACTCCTGCAACAGTTTCCACGTGTAATAAATGAAACCTCGACTGTAAAACCACAGAAACATCACTCAGTTTTGCTGGCTTCTGTTTTTAAATGAGTCTCCCTGGTAATTGTACTGGGCCTTCACTGCAGGTAAACTGCTGTGTCAGCCTTACCCGAGATTTCAACTCTGACTTTCGTTCACACTTAACCCCTTATTGTGTAACCACAGTTAACTTCCTGTGTAAAACTGTACGGGTGAAAGTGCTTTAGAAAGACAAGACAATGAAGTTGTCAATGATGCTGATAAAGAAGTTGACTGGGCCTTTAGTTGTCATGTTTACAGCCACCACTGGAGGGCAGCAGAGAGCAGTGATTTCAGCGAGGAGGCAAAACAGGAACATACCTTTTCCAGGCTGTAGATGACACTGAGCTGAGCGGGCTTTTTCAAGGCTTTAAATTTGAACACCGTCTCTGCAAGAAAGGAACATTTTTCATCCCTCATTTATCACATTCATCACACAGATTTTACATTATTTGGAAACACCAGACACCCTTTATAGTGCAAGAGCATTTCATGAATGGACCAAGGGTCCAACGGTGCAAAGCATTTACATTTTTTGGCATAAACTTGTATTACAACTGTTAATGTGACCAAAGTCATTCAGAGTGTTTTGATGTGAGAAGCTCCATTCTGGAGAAACTTGTTCACTACAATTAACCACAATGGTTCACAGTGGTGGTGACAGGAAAGAGAAGTCCAAACAGTTTAATGTCTCTAAAAATCTCTCACAGAAAGTTATAACATGATATATAATGATAACATAATACAATACTTCAGCCTGATACTGGAGACGCTGATTTACGATAGTTTAAGAGAACTTCTGTGTAGGGTGTACTTACATACATACATACATTGGTAGGGGGCAGTCACGGGCTGGAGGTTAGGGGACCAGCCCTGTGACGGGAAGGTCACCGGTTCGATCCCCTGAGCTGATAGCACATGACTGAAGTGCTCTTGAGCAAGGCAACTAACCCCCAACTTCTCCCTGTGCGCCGTGGATAAGGCTGCCCACGGCTCCGGGCAAGTGTGCTCACTGCCCCCTAGTGTGTGTGTTCTCTAGTGTGTATGTGGTGTTTCACTGCACTGACAGGTTAAATGTGGAGGTGAAATTTCACTGTTGTGGGACTAATAAAGGTCACTTATTCTCAAATTTAATCTTTTTAAAAGCGTTCATGACAGAGATGTACACAGAGAGCACTGAAGTGCAAAATAATCCCCAAAGAAAAATATCATAATGTATGGAACACCAAAATATCATGTATGTATGTAACACCAGCATTTTGCCTTCAGCAATAACGCAAATAAAAGCTCAGAAGGCATGTGAAGGTTCACTGGTGGTTTTAGACAGTGAATAAAACGGCCGTATTTGTGTTGTAAACATTGTGACATCTGGTTCCTATCACCACCACTGTAAACAAATCCGAGCTGGTACATTTCTGTACAATGAACCATTTAAAACCTTTATCTTCCAACATTAGCCGTCTCAATACGAATACTGAATCTCACTTCATGAGACGCATGATTACTGATGGAATACAGTTTAGAAGAAATCACAAACCTTGCAGGAGCCGTTTGAGTTTGGAACAGTCCACGTTAATGTACCGGATGAGCTCAATATCGTGAACATCAACAGCGTCCTCTGAGCACACCGTCAACTCCTGTAATCTGAATCAAGGACAAAGTTGTCAATTTCATGTTTCTGCACAAATTAAACTACAAACAACATCAAAATATGAGCCTCATAGTTGAAGCTATGTTTTGGCAAATCCACATAATGAGAAATCCTGATAACATCAGACTTTTGACTTCAATACTGAATGAATACTGAGTAGCACAGTGATTGATACCAAAACTATGATGAAAAGTCAACATCCAGTCTCATTCTAACACATTTTGTACTTTGTTCTTGAGTAAAAACAATATTGTTATGCAAGAAACCTACACAACACTGCTAGAAATGAAAACAAACTTTGTTCTCCGCACCACAATTGCGGTGCAAATGACGTAAATTACCCCACAGGAGGGGTTAATTGCAACAGAAAGAGGGACTAGTTGTAACAGGCACTAAAAAGTCTATAACAAAACTAACAACAAAAATCTATGCAGTAAAAAACTACTATTGAAAACAGGCTCAAACATTGGCAATTATTTTGATGACAAAGCAAAACAGAAAATATCAGCGTGATAAAATTGAAATTCGTAGTTTTGATGAATTTGTGTATATAAACTGACCAACACATGAACTGTTCTGAATGGATGTGGGTGAAATTATTTTAACTGTCGAATGTTTTGTTGTGACAAAATGTTAAACCTAACCCTGCCATGTGAAGGCCAGCACGGCAAGTTTACACTTTAAAATTATGCCGTATTACAGTCACCAAGTGGAAGATAATAATAATACAGGTGTCATTTCTGTGATTTATACACACAACTCAGTAAGTGAAAAACACTTATGAAGAAAGTTGCTTTAATGGTACAAAATCATCAAAAGTGGCTACAATGGGAATACAAAGATAAGCAAAAGCACATTTTTGAAATAGGCCTGAAAATAATTTACAGAAAATAGCTGCAATTTAAACTGTAGGTTTATTGTAATATTGGTCAGAAAAATCACAAGTGTGCATATAGTCCCCAAGTTGTTCAACTCTAGTCTCAACACACACCAGTGCTTAGCTGTGTGTTTTTCCTGTGTATGGTTACTGAGCGACAGAGATGCTTTGACAAGTCTGAAGATGTGTGCAATATTATTAACACTGTCCAATGTGTACACAACAATAACTTACAGTATCGCTTACAAGTTGACTGAACGTGCTGTGAGATGAACTGCAAACTGGAGTCAACTGAATGATTGATTGAGTTGATTAAACTACATAAAAATTCCATGTCACATTTTACCCCGTGTTAGTTTGTGCCCCACACTCCCCTCCATGCAGTTTCCAAAACAAAAAAGATTTCACACAATTATTATTCAATATCAAGTGCAAGACCTAATTCTTTTCAACCTGAATGCTCAGCAACTCAGCAAGGCCAGCAGCTACCGGAAAAAATGTCCTTTACTTACAGCAGTCTGACCTGAAAGCCTACTGGCTGAGTAAGCAAGGCGTGAGAGCTAAAAGCCAGAATGGTGAAGGTATCAAAGAGGGGTTGTGAAGATCGCTCTTTCTAAAGGCAGGGCTCATGTTTTAATCAATAACACCTCATCGTTCTTGATAAGAGCTTCTCCATCACTCAGTCACCCCACACAGGTTAACACCACACCACAGCACACACAGCAAAACAATGGAGTGTGTTGAGAATAGACTTGAACGATTTGGGGGAAATATGCAATTATGTTTTTCTAACCAATATTGTGACTGTGATTTAAATTATTATTATTTTCCATAACTTATAAAAAAAGAAAGAAAAAAAAAGAAGAGTCAAATCGGTGTATGACAGTTAAAAAGAGAATAATACAGGCCTGGGCCTCTTCAAAGTGTCTCTCATGCAAATCATGAAACATTAGAAAATATGTGGGGAAAAAACATGTAAATTTCTGCCTTTGACACATGTTGATCTTTTTAAATCCGTGGGGCTTTTAAGTGGCAGCTCACTGTTTTGTAAAATCACCAATTTTTCAATTTTCCAGGACATGCTACTCTGCAATGTTTTGTTTTGAAATAAAATGTTCATTTTTGAGTCAAACTTGGTAGAATCTAGAAAATTTGTACACAAAAATACCAAAAAACTAATCAAATATTGACTTTACTTCAATCAAAAGTTGCATCATTGTTAATCAACTGATGGCAAATCCTGGAATGCAGAGAGTGACACCTCTGCTTTTCTCATAGGAAGTAACAACCAGTCATCATTTATCATAGTTAAAACACACACTCCGAACTTCAATGTATGTAGGTCAATGTGTAAGAATTTGCTACTGAAGTGTGTAACAGAGTTATGCAGACTGTCTGATGTATACTGCACGCTAACATGATCACAGACGTCAGAATCTTATCCATCCACGCATCCCTGCACTGTTTTTATGAGCGCAGTTGTTGATAAACAAGTGTTTATCTAACTAAATGCTGGTTAGGAACACAAAAGTGACAGCTCAAGACACGGCTAAGGCTAATCGCTGGACTGAAAATCTCATTTTTAAATGTTAATCAGTAGCTTAGTTTGAAGAGAGATATCTTCACGTGTTTTCTAACTGGTACACAACTTTGCTCAAGTCTGTTTTTATTGAGGCACTGTTCTGATCTGCCTGCCCATTGCACAAAACGGTTTGTGGTTGACTGTTTTGCACGTCAAATGGCCCTTTCCTGTTAAAGTAGGAGGTTCTGGCTTATGAGGCTGTATTTCAACATAGTCTCTCACAGCTTAGAGTGGGATTGGTTTCACCTTATGTGGTAACTTCACACTAATAAAGTACTTTGAGCTTGGCACTGAGCAGAAAAACTGCTTAAGAGACCCTTCATTCACTACCAAATTGACCCCAAGTGGGTAGGGCTGAACGAAGAACGTGTGTGTACCTGGTGGAGATGCGGCTGAAGACAGCGTTGAAGTTGTTGCAGCTGAGTGAGAATAGCACCCCGGAGGCAGAATTGCGCAGTTCGGCTGCATATTGGTTCCCTTCCCTGTATGTGTGGATGAAGTGGCAGATCTCTGGCAGCAGCTGTTTAACAAGCATGGTTTCATCCAAACGCATGCAATCTTTCGGTTGCTGGAGACAAGAAAAGATAAATGGGTCAAAGTCAAGTCAGATTAATTCACAGATCACAAGTGAAACCAACAAATCTTGGCTGAGCTGCTGCAAAATAGATGACATGTAAATAACATATCAGTACGGCTAAAATAAATAAATAAATAAAAACAAAGGAGTAAAAGTTAAGGAGACACAACATCTTTGCAACGGCGGTTTGTTCATTTTCTAGGGTCCATTAATCCATTAACCAACACTCCACCATGTCCCCACCCTAGTCTCATTCAGAAAGCTTGGCTACACAGTCTTTAGCTGCGGTCACAAGTTTTTTTTAATCATAGCAAGACAGAGTGCGAGAGAGAGAGCGTGAGAAAGAAAAACGGAGGAAAAGTGAGAGAGAGTGCACAAGACAGAGACAGGAAGAGAAAGAGAGAGTAGGAAAGTGAGAGAGCAGTCAGGCTTCAGTCACAAGGTCCTACTAGTGTGCCATGAATAAAGCTGAGGGCTAAATGGCACCGTAGCATCTGAGCAGCGGCAGAAACAAACACACTGGCCCGTTTTGTTTGCTTTGGGTATTTTTAGAGGCCAAACGAGACTGTAAGGGTATTTAAAACACACGGAAAGAAAAGCCAAAGGAAGGGAAGTGAGCTCGAGGCCAAACCAGAAGGACGAGGGCACATCCAGGCACCGAGATGTTTAGCACAAGCAATAACAATAAACCACACTAGCAGTGGGTGGTACAGTAAAAAAAATTAACATAAGAGTGTAATTACAGTTTCTGAAGTTTCAGTGTGAATCTGATACACAGTGTGTGTGTGTGTGTGTGTATATATACTCTAAACGGACAAAAGTATTGGGACACCTACACATTACACCTACAGGAGCTTTTATAACATCCAATTCTAAATGATTAATATGGAGCTGGTCCCCACTTTGCAGCTATAACAGCTTCCACTCTTCTGGGAATCTTTCTACAAGATGTCGGAGAGAGTCTGTGGGAATTTTGCCTATTTATCCAGAAGAGCATTCGTGAGGTCAGACACTGATGTTGGATGAGAGGTCTGGCTCACAATCTCCGTTCTAGTTCATCCCAAAGGTGTTTGATGGGGTTGAGGTCAGGACTCTGTGAGGGCCAGTCAAGTTCTTCCACACCAAACTCACCCAGTCAGTGCCTTTATGGAGCTGCTTTGTACACTGGGGCTCAGTCATGCTGGAAAAGAAAGGGTATTTCCCCAAACTGTTCCCACAGAGGTGGTAACATAGAAGTATCCAAAATGTCTTGGTGCTGAAGCATTAAGGTTTTCCTTCACTGGAACTGAGGGTTCTAGACCAACCCCTGAAAAACAACCCCATAGCATCATCCCTTCTCCACCAAACTTTACACCTGGCACAATGTAGTCAAGCAGGCAATGTTCTCCTGGCATTCACCAAACCCAGACTCATCCATCAGACTGACAAAAAGAGAAGCGTGATTCGTCACTCCACAGAACGCGTTTCCCTCCATTTGGCATTGTGCATTTTGATCTTAGGCTTGTGTGCAGCTGCTCAGCCATGGAAACCCATGCCATGAAGCTCCTGATGCACAGTTCTTTTGCTGATGTTGCTTCCAGAGACAATTTGGAACTCTTTAATAAGGGATTCAACAGAGGACAGGCGCTGTGTGCTAAAGTCTAAACTTGGCGGCCCCGCTCTGTAAGTTTGCATGATCTACTGCTTCGTGGCTAAGCTGGTGTTGCTCCTAGGTGCTTCCATTTCACAATCATGGCACTTACAGTTGGCTGGGGCAGATCTAGCAGACTTGTGCCAAGTCACTGAGCTCATCAGTAAGACCCTCTACTGCCAGTGTTTGTCTATCGAGACTGCAAGGCTATGTGGTTAATTTGATCCACCTGTTAGGAATGGGTGTGGCTAAAACACCTGACCTCAATAATTAGGAGGAGTGTTCTTATAGAGTATATTTTTTTTCCTATAGCGTATATAAAAACACACACGCGCGCAACTACACCACCCACGTACACAAACAGAGGATGAATGAGCATCCCAAGCTTTAGTTGCACTCCTACGTCCTCTGTGTTCCAGGCTGTGGGATGCTCTGGCCAGGAGTGGCCCTTTGAAGCACAGCTTCAGCACGGGTTTACATGTGCCGCATTCCCAGCTTGAGAAGCCTTGTAAAAAATGTCGTAAATTTGGGCTGCACCAACAGTTCCAGCCCGGGATTAGTAAACAGTATCCAGCCTAATGCTTCTACCTGATGTGGATGAACACGCACGCCATGCCTGAGCCCAAACTGAAGCTTCCCTTCTGTCCCCAACACAACGGGTGAGTCACAAAACGGCAAGAACTTCGGGTCAAATAACAGCCGGCTGGAGATTAGAACAAGTTAGCAAGTCTTGATCTGGATTATCAACTACACAAAATCTAAGTCTTTGAAAATGATAAACATTTTCATTCCATCATGAGGCATCATTCTGAGGGTGCAGTGTAACTGAATAGTTTTCTAACGATCCTGTTATTTGTGACAAAGAACACTGTTATTATCAAAACAAAATATTTGGAAATATCTAGTGGAATGGTATCAGATATCCCACTAATACCAGGTTTTATAGGCACCTGAGTAATTAGGCTCGCTAAAGTTAGTATCTGCACCAGCAGATATTTGAGGATCAGGTATCGGCGCATCCATATTTGACAGACACTCGTATCATTTTTTTAGCAATGCATTTGATTATGGCACATGGATCACAGAACATATTTATGTCCAAACATCAGCAGCCGAACCAGTTTAACTCAAATATTAACCATTAGATCAAAAATCCAGAGATCAAGTAAGGTTTATTTTTATTGGTCTGACTACGAATCACAAATTTACGATTTTTCAAATTTCAACTGTTGAGATGTAAAAGTCATTCACAGTAGTTTTATGCAAATTTCTAGAGAATCTACATTTTCATTGGGTAGTATTTTGCCTCACAATACCCTACATGCATCTCTCCGCCTTGAACAGAGGTAAAAAAAAAACAGTTTCAGGTTAAAACCATAACTCAAAGCTATTGTAAAATTATTCCTTCAGACATCAAGCAGCGTATTCAAAACTTGATTTTTTAAGCTTTTAGAGGTATTAAACTCTTCAGACGGCTGGTTCCCATCACCACCACTGTGATCTATTCTGACTCTTAAGTTTCTCTAGAATGGCAGATTTTACATTAATCCACTTATTATGACGTTTACACTGTAGTTTTAATAATAATAATAATAATTATAATAACAATAATTTAGAAAGTTTGAAACTTGGGTGGAATTACCCTCCATGTGTGTCTATTTTAATACAAAATAGGAGTAGGACAATACAGCGTATACAGAGCATACAGTGATAGGCTCTAAAGGGAAATTAACAGACTGCTAGTATCCCAGCCAAATTTCTGATCAATCAACAAACACCCAGATGTGTAATCTGGTGCATTTTAGCCGCTGTATTGTGAAACTGAATGATACAGAAGAAAAATACACAACATCACTAGAACTAAAACTCCGGTTCGGACTTTAAAAAAGATGTGAAAACAGCTTAAGAGACCAGCAGTTTTAGAGCTAAATTCTCAGAAGTATCATTCGCTGAAAGACTGGCAGCCAGGCGGATATTGAGACAGCACGTCCAGTGCAGCGGTAATGCTCAGGCAGCGGGGGCAGTCCCGCTGGAGCCAAACGGCAAGACCAGGAAGCACCTGCAAAACTCATCTACTTCAGCTGGCAGATGCTGCGCATCTCCAGGCGCCGTGGAGGCTTCGGGACGAGGAGAGGGGGTCGAGAATGAGAGAAGAAATGGGGGAAAAGGCAGCTCACCCCCGCAAGGCACTTCTCCAGTGTGTCCAAGATGATGAGCTGGGAGAGATAGAGGTTCTTCTCTGCGGCCTCCCCAAATATTCTCTGCAACATAGAGAAGAGAGTTAGTTAAAGACCAGAACAGAAAGGCCTGCGCTTATGGGTAAAGTGTCACTCCGGCCAAAACGTTTCTACATCTGTTGTAAACATGCCTATTTGCCTTAAAAGCTGCTGTAGTCTCCAGAGTGAGATGTTCCAGTTTAAAGACAAGGAAAACTCACGTCTTCATGAGTGGACAAACACAAACTTTGTTCAGGATTGATCAATTGCTGAGTTATTTCATCGTTTGATACCAGTTTGTATTGGTTTATAGGGACAGTACTTAGCTTGTACAAATCAGCCAAACTGGTTAGCTAACCTCTCTGTGTCTTCCACTTTCCACTTACGCTCAGTTCCACGGCTACACTGAACAAATATGCGAGCGAGGATAAGCTAAGCTTCCTCATGCTGAGTGTCGTACAGCAGTTACGACTAGAGCCAGACAGACAAACTCAATGAACATAATGATGAACTTCATTAGATGTCATAGTTAATTTCAACTCCTTCATTTTTATTTCTAGGAATTCTCATTTTTATTATACAGCTATAAATAAAAGTTTGAACAATTATGGGGAAGTTACGTTTTGTAAATTTTCTTGAAAAATAGGTTAACACATGCTCTACATGGAATACAATTAAATATGATATTTTCTGCATAATTTAGTGCTTAGTTTTTGTTTATTTGTTGAGTTTTACATATTGTGAAAAAAATATCAAACATAAAATATAAAATGTGTCAACTTGTATGATGCATGTTTTTCCAATACGTTAAATTCAGCAAATGAAAAAAGTGCACTAAAATATGCAGAAAATACCATATTTACTGTATTTAAATTTGTAATAAATAATGCAATAAGTAATAATTCAAATGCACAGAAGTGTGTTCTCTGTAGAGGATGTGTTAACTTCTTTTCACTCAAACACGGCACCTAAACTTTTGCATACGACTGTATACTTTCAATATTACACTTACAACGCCTGGTTAAATTTCAGTGTCCATTTTCTCAAACTCAACTGAAGAGCATCGTAACAATTCCCAACGGTTGTGTGTTGTATTAGCATAATTTCTGTAAACCTGATAAGGCTGAGGGACGCAATACTGCGCTACATGACACAAATAATGTATGTGCACAGGAAAAGAAGAACCAACTCACCATATTGTTCACATTCTTCAGTATGTTTGTGAGGCCGCTGATGACCAGAGAGAACTTGTACTTAGAGATGTTTATTAGACATTCCCTGTTGTGCTCCGTGCTGACTTTGGTGTGGGTGTTCTGTTGTCCAACTTTGACCGGAAGCTGGAAAAAAAAATGGGAAAAAAGCAGGGTCATGATCTAATATGTCCAGGTATTACATGTGTTACCACATCTGATTAAAGGAATATGGCAAAAAAATCAAACTGACACAAGCTTTTTTAGTTCAGCTATGGGGTAACACGTTTAATGTGGATAACAGACTCTAGAAGTCAATAGTCACCCAAATCTTTTCTGTAAATACAGTCCCCTAAAACTTCTCTCCACCAGCTCAAATTGCATCCTGGTTTTCATTAATCACATAAAAATAAACTTCACACTGAGGGCAATCATCTGAAACCACAGGTGTGTGTTAAATGTTCATAAAGCAAAAACAAGTTTAGTTTTAATTTTTATAATTCACATTAAGTCTATACTACGTCCTACACCACATTAAGTCTGCACAACCTTAATAAAGTCCTGAATGCGGCCTGAGAAGTTTCTGGGGATGTGTTTACAGAAATGATTGACTGTTGACTTTTGGTATTTGTTAGGAACATTTGCCCTGGAGCTCCAGCTCCAGCACAACACTAGCAAAATTTGGACATCAATCACGTCTTGGCTGATCAACTACATCTGGATTAAGTGGAAAATTGAGTAAATTAATTTTTTTTTCGCCAAACTACTCCTTTAACATGGCTATTGTAGAACTTTCCGTGTACCTTGAGTACAATGCCTTTCATTTAAACCGTAAAGAAAAATAATTCACCTTATAGTGTTCATAATACAAAAGCAGTAAAAAAATATATGTTTAACTTGCGTCCACGCTTTTTCATGATGCTGCAATCTATGGCTCAGCTGATATATGGGTTGACCGATTATGCGGTCAGTAACCCACCGGCAATTAACAACTTTTCTTAAGTTGCAGCAACACCAGGATTCAAACTTCAAAGTTAAGAAATTTTTTTTTAAAAAATCAATAACTTAAATAAAATGTATGTAACATTCATGTGGAAATTACACATCGTGTCTTTTCTACTGGTTGGGAAGATTTCACGCAACATCATTGTGAAGGTCAAAGAGCCTCCAACACCTCAATATTATTAAATAACACTCGGACTGAAAAAGCTACAGAGCCCATCAAAACCTTAAACGACCCTATCAGTACAAGCAGTGTAATAGCGGAACCACCACTAATCATCCCCAGGCAGGTGCGCTATGCAAGATTTCATAACATTCTTCCAGACAAATCCAAAGGAAGGTACGCAAGAAGCCAGCAGTCACTCAAAAATGGTCGCAGGATGACCTGAAGTCAGTAGGAACAGCAGTTACACAGATAACAAATAAGTAATGAACTGCACCACAATGATCTCTGTTCCTAGACCCCTCGCAAACTCCTCTGCTGGAAAAGAAGCACAGAGATGAGTGTCTGAAGTTCACACACAAGAATTTAGACATATCAGAACTCTTTTAGGACAGTCCACTCTGGTCAGACGAAACAAAAATGGAACTCTTTGGCAAAGACGGACGTTTTAACAACATGACCACCCCAAACATACACTGTTAGACATAAAGGTGCTGTGCAGGTACATTCCTTGTTCATCAAGGTACAAACAATGTAAATGTTCCCTTAAAGGTACAACAGTGGTTTTAAGGTCTGATTGTGTACCTTAAATAAGTTTTTCCAGGTGAAAAGTTCGTATTTGTACCTTTTCATAACCGAATGTTTTAAAACAGAGCAATAAAATAAAAGCCTGGAGACGAGACGGGGTGTGTGGAGTTAATACATCTTAGAAATTACCATTTCAGTGGATTATGGTTCAGTTATGTTCCCTGACTAAAGGTACTGAGATGTACCCTTGAGGGTCCCACCCCAGTGACAGGAGGGGAACTGCCCCAGTGACAGTTTCATATCTTTTTTTCTGAGAGTGTAGAGCCAAAGTAACTCAAGACTGGCTACAACACGTCAATATAAATATTTAACACTTCCTACATTTTATTTAAATTTTAAAATGTGATCTTTGCGGAAAAATTAGGGCTGAACGATCGGGGGAAAATATCTAACTGTGATTTCTCCGATTAATATTGCGACTACGATTTAAACTGCGATTTTTTTCATAAATTGAGATTCAGGCCTGATTTATTTTGGCCAAGAAGACCAGAACATCCACCTTCTCTAGCTTGAGGCTCGACCCCTGAACGTAGTGTCCAAACTGCCAGTAAGTTGTGGTTGTGATGTCACAACAGATGGAGGTTTGGTTGCCTTTGGTCTAACTCATCTACAGGCATTTCACCAACTCATATTTAGGTTCAATTTCCCATCTTAAAACTTAAAACAACAGTTCTGCTAATGCACACACTTAAAAAAGATGGTTCTTCAAGGGTTCTTTAGTAAAGACAATGGTTCTATGTAGAACCATTAACACTCAGCGAGCCATTTGCATGTTTAAATAGCGAAACGGTTCTTTAGATTGATGGAGAATGTGCTGTATATGGTTCAATATAACACTTTTTTTTTTAAATAAAGCTCTCTATAGGACCAAAATGTTCCTCTATTGTTACAGCTTGACATTGTAACAACAGTACAACCCTTTTTGGTGCTATATAGAGCCATAAACAACACATTCTCCAATTGGAAGAACCATTTCACCATGCAAATGGGTCTGAGTATTCATGGTTCAATGTAGAACGACAGTAGATTGTTACTAAAGAACCACCTTTTTGTAAGAACCTTAAAGAACTATATTTTTTAAGAGTGTAGGCTATAATTAAAAAAAAATGGCAGCTCTTGCGATTTGAAAATTGTACCGTCTTAAATTGCGATTACGATATAAAAACAATCTTTTAGTCCTACTAACAATCATACTAACACTGTTTAACTAAAATTAATGGAATATAAAACCTAAATATAAAATACAAACATCAGCTGCTCTAGTTAACCCCTAAAATCTGAATCATATCAGTCACAAAACATTCATATTGGCTGGGCCCTACAAAAGCCTCCGGTATTGGTGGGTCACTTCCTGGGCAAAAACATAGCCGAGCCGTTGAGGCTGAGCAGCTGGCCAAGAGGACAGTCAGGTCCAGCGGAGAGGGCAAAGTCCTGGAGAAGCCTGGAGGGGCCGGCAGGACGCTCTGAAGCCCCGGACCTCATTACACACACGCACACACACACACACACACACACAACACACACACACACAACCAGGAACAAAGAAGTCTTTGGCGCAGTGCCGCACCCCTCCGGCCGCAGACGAACACCTGCAGCAGCCCAAAGACACACATACACACCCACACACAGTCCCAGACTGTGTTAAACTCAGTCATCATGCTTCTTTACCACTATGTATTCAGCTTATAATCAATTAGCCCAGGGGAGGAGTTGAGGACAGTCAACATCTGTTTTAGGCGGGAGTCCCCTTCACTTCCTCCCAGTACTGCCCCCGCTTCAGGGTTCAAGGGCAGCCCCCCAATAGCCTGCCAAGAGCAGCCTGGCTGCCAGAGGAAGATCACCAAAGCCAAAGGAAACATGGCAGAGCGGAGGGGAGTTCATCCGAGGGGAGGTGCACACAGATGTGCATAAATGATCACCTGTGCCAGTCAAGGCTTCGGACACACCTGACTGAACGCATGCAATAGTTTTAAAGACGTTTTAAGACAAATGCTTATGATTAAACCCTTGAAATTGGATTCTAAGACAAATATAGAAGTTGAATATATATATGAACTCATGTCCACTGAAACAATTATTCAACATTATCAACATCGACAAATACAAATATTTCCATTGTCGATTTTCCACTTACAACCCAGAGTGAGTTCATGACTTGGGCCCAATCCTATTTCTTATTTTTGAGAGTCACCTTGCCCATTGGAACTGAGTTACAAGAGGGAGTGGTTGAAATCTTCCCTACAAAATGAGACGACGCACAAATAAAAAAGGACATTTCTTCATTAACAGCTACTAGCGCTGCTCTGTAGGCGACCCTGCCAGTCTGCAGTGACAGCAGAGGAGGGTAAAGTTCAGCTCCTCACTGCTGGGCTTCACTTGCATTTAGGGCATCATATGGCTTCAAAGAGGGGGGACAACTCTTTATTATCGCCCACACCAATTCTTTGATGATATGAAGCTGAAGTCAGATATTCGCCAGCTTCTTGCTCGAATTTTCCTGTTCCACCTTAAATGAGGCGGCAGAATGTAACTGCTGCGCTGTTTAAGGCGGAATGTAAATGGAGGTTAGCTAGCTACCGATATATCAGCATATTACTGGCATTTTTTATGCCTGTTATCAAGAAAAGGACCATAATACAACGAAACGACAGTAAACAGTAAAGATTACAATACAATGGTTGCTGTAATTTGTAACGGAGAAAATACTCACATTTGTGGGTTCTTTGGTCGCTTGTGCAGCATCTTGCCTGTTTTTCTCTAACTTTCTCGTTTGGAGTGTCTCTGAAAAACCTCCATTTAGAGGGCCATGTAGCCCTAACACTTCACTCTACCCCGCTATCTCAACAAGAATCAGGACACCCCACCCCTAGGAGTGAACAAGCAAAATGGAGGGGTAAGGGCTAAGTGGTATGAAATGGGATTGAATGAAATGGGTGAAATGTGATTGGGCCTTAGACTGAAGAGGACAGCAAGAGGACAGTGCTGTACCTATGTGAGTAGATAGAGATGTAGTCACATATAACATACGCAGTTTGTGCTGTAAGTGATTTGTCAGAATGAGCCAACGTTCCCCTTATGAAAATCACTACAGCTGCGTTCACATTACAAGCCCCATTGCATGATTCCGATTGTTTGCTGAGATCCGATCTTTCTTACTTAATGGTTGGTAAGTGACTCAAATCTGTCATTAATGTGAAGGAACCCGTGTCCTGAAACGACCTGCCTGTGCACGTCCTAATGAACTACATTTATCATGAAGAACAAACTAACCAGCAGAACAAGCCTTCGTCACAAAGTTCATTTGCTCTGCGCAGCTCTCAGCTGTTCATTATTAGAGCAAGAATATGATGAAAAAGGGTCAGACGCTTCTGCAGTTTACTGCCACTACCTAAAG